TCCCCTTACCACCCTATAGCAAAGTGGTTGGCGAATCTCTTAGAACCCGTTAGAAAACTCATTTGTAAACATTCTGTACGCGATACTTTTGAATTTATCGAGCACATAAAAGAGGTGAATGTAAGTGGCAAAATTATGCTATCTCTGGATGTGGAATCATTATTCACTAATGTCCCACTTACAGAAACCATTAATTTTATCTGCAAGTACATAAACAATACTGAGATAAACATTGGGATACCTGAGGTTTATTTGAAGGAATTATTACTACGTTGTACTTGCAATGTACAGTTCACATTCAACGACGTAATTTATAGACAGAAGGATGGTATAGCAATGGGATCCCCACTTGGTCCATTACTGGCAGATTGCTTCATGGCCAGTTTAGAAAACAACCAACTTAAAAGAATTATAGAAAGCCTCCACTTATATAAAAGGTATATGGATGATATCTTTATCATTTGTGATAACAAATGTAACTTAATTGATCTCCTAAATACATTTAATAATTGTCACCCATCAATAAAATTCACAATTGAAGTTGAAAACAAACAAAATATTCACTTCCTTGATGTAGATATAACAAGGAAACAAGATGGTACTTTAAAAAGATCTATCTACAGAAAACCCATATGGAATGGCCAACTATCAAATTTCCACAGTTGGGTTCCCATCAGCCGAAAAAGAAACTTAATAATCACTCTCGCCACAAGAATACGAAGAATCTGTAGCCCTGAGGTCGTAGAGGAAGAATTGAGTTTTTTAAAAGAGATACTTATCAAAAACGGATATCCTTCTATATTCGTTGATAAGAACATGAAACCGAAAATGCCAAGACCACAAACCACTGCAGTAGAAAAGAAAATTCTATACATGAACATCGACTTCAAAGGCGATAGAGCCGCACATATCTTAAAAAGGAGAATTTCAGATTCTTTAAAAAGAACATTTTTCGCAGCAACATTGCGAATATTATTCTCCAGCCGATCATTGTTCGCCAGTAATCTGAAAGATAAATTATCGCATCTGACCAATTCAATGTGCATTTACCAATTTACCTGCTCTTGTGGAGCTAGGTATATAGGTCGTTCGATGCGTACTTTATCCAAAAGAATTCAAGAACATTGTCCGGCGTGGCTAAGAAGAGGAGGCAGCGGTTCAATAAGAAGTTCTATAATCGAACACCTTGTGAACACAGGTCACTCAATCAAGACAGACTCTGCGTTCAAAGTCATCTACAAGGTAAGTAGAAGCCTTCCTAAGATAATTAGACTACATCTCCTTTGCATTGCCGAGGCAATAGCCATACATTTTGAAAAACCAGAATTATGTGTACAAAAGAGACTGGCACAACCTCTTCTTTTACCGTGGTCTTAATGTATTAAAATTTTTTTCTCTTTTTTCTCTTTCTCATTACTCTTGGTCTTTTACAGCCACCTGCTTCACCTTCCATCTTCCCTTCAAATCTTGTACCCCCAACCGGTTTGTTTTTATTTCAACGATCATTCCGATTACATTTCATCTCTGTTTCAACATTTTATGTTATTTTATCATGCTGAGCTACTCTTACCCGATGACTATCTAAGCCATTATCTATTAAACTTTCCTTGTTTTTAAAAAAAGAAAAAAAATTTTTTTCTAATACCTTTGTTTATTTAACCTCACTGTCACCATGTATAACAGAAGTTTATTATCAGTATTATTATCACCCTGTATAAATAAGTATATATATTTGCGATTGTACAGCTTTGAAAATGAATTCGCCGAAAAGAGAACTCTTCGCTGAACTAATCTTTCTTTCTTATTTAATGTCATAATGGGTGTATTCCGTTTATTAAAAGCAACTTTAACTAGTATAAAATGTCCACATAAATTGTTAAGAAATCCATTTTGATCTAAATTCTAAAAATTGTCTTTTTGTTTCAGCTTGCTTGAAACGTCATTACTAGTCTTGATATTGAGTTCTTAGTCTAGTACTTTAACCCGCGTTGATTAAGAGCTACATTTATACAAGACATAGGCATTACATCAGCGAGGATTTTATTGGTGTCTATATTTTTCCCAAAATCAATATTAGCAGGAAGCTTTTCTTGAAGACTTTATAAAAATGAGTTGTCGTTTTGGTCAATTCGAGTTTATTTATACGGTGATTTACCAACCAAGCTCTTTAGAAATTGAGTAAATTAAACTTTATTTGAAGTATGGGGAAAGGTACATGAAGTTTTACACGTCCTTAGTTTAGAGAGATAACCTCCAGATTCTTCTCAGCTAAATGTCTTCTAGAATTCGACCTTCTGAAATTTATTTAGCTGACTAGCAGGTAATATCGACATCTACTGGTGAGATTTTTTGCATTCTCTGTCTCTGTGAGTACAACCATCAATCCATCTGTACTAATAAGTTTGCTCGTATGATAAATTAGTAGTTTATATTGTAGTATTGTCGGTCTATGTTTTTGTTTTGATACATAACGAAAAACATTGAAAACGAAGACCGACAATAGTTACTGCATACCTTTTCTAAGTGATTGAACAAATGCAGAAGTTCCACGATTTCAGTAGGTAACTACGTTCTGAAAAATCTACGTCAAACGTCAGGATATGTTCAAGGATTCTTATCACTAAGAACGTTTTAGATCAGGTAAACATTAGTAATATTTTATTGTAGCTCTTAATCAGATAACTATTTAGAAGAAAGGATTGTCGATACTAATTATTATTCCGAGTTAAACACATAAGAGCTTCTCTGAACTTCAGTCCTTTTTACTTTGAAAATTGGTTTTTATCAGTTTTGGATTTGGATTAACAGCCCCAGGTTAACCCTGATTAAGATACCAGGCTACCTTATCAATAATAAATATAGCTTTTGATAATATAACTTACTCATAACCTACTATGAAGTAGAAAAAATATACTTGAGATAAGCAATAAGCAATATAATATGATTTGCTTTGTATTTGATCTAGGGAGAAATTTTGAAGGACTTAACAATCAAACTTTTTAATAAGTGGTAATGAAGCAGTGTGCCAGTTCGGGGATTATATGATATCCTTAAAATCAGTAATCTTTAAGGAACTAAATAAAAGAGCTTGATAATACAACAGTCAGTCTAAGAAAATCGTTAGTATGGGATAATCACGGCCATTATCCACACAACCTCCAACGAAATTATTCCACAACTAATAAAACCAGAACACTTATGTACCTAAGAATGCCCATTATGTATTCTGTACTTATAGAAGGTCATTAGGAAGGATTGATTTAACACTAAGAGTATATCCTACAGCAATAGTTTATCCTTATTTAGAATCAGAAACCTTTAGATCTGCTCCCCTGTGATCTTGTGGATACAGGTTCTTAAGAACATATCGAACCGGGCCTAAGAGCTATTAAATATTAACTACCTTCTTCAGCTGATGTTGGTTTATGATGGACACAGTATACTTATTGAAAAAATCTCCATGAAAACCACAATTAAGTGGTCATATATCGACCTACTTACATTGAAAGTGTTAACAGTTATATACAATGGCTGCCATAATATAAAACGTAAGCGAAATATCTTTATTTCAAAAGTTTCAAAAAATAAGGACAGGATGATAAAAAGTAAGAACCGAATTAGTCTTCACTATTTATCAATAGTGCATGTGATATTACATGTCTTAGACATATCTAATTCTACAAAGTACATGACCTAACTAACGAAATGCCAATTAAGACTATAAGTTAGTTGTTACATAAACTAGATATATGTTTAAACTAACTTCCAATCATGTTAAGCAATTGATCTTTTCGGTTTCATATATTTTTGTAGATTAAATCAATTAAATAGGATTTTACATTGTTGAAGTAAGGAGCGGTGGTGGTCTCATATTTCTAAACATCTCAAAATTTTTCATGTCTTTTAAAGATCACATAAAGCTAGGATATCAGCTTGAATATAATATCATTAGTACTAAACAGTGATTTTACTCTGATTATTACTGTACGGTGTCATTTACTACACTTTGACTTATTCAAAAATCTAATAATTTCACTTTAAAGAAAACTAAAATAATCGAGTGATGAGAATACACTAAAGTGAGCGTTATACTGTGATTAACAATTACCAAATCAAAGTATAGTTTATCCAAAACCATGCTGAACTATAACGGACTGGTGGGTACCAAATTAGATAGAAAGTTAAAATAAATAAAAATATGAAGCATATTGAGATCAGAAGTCTCATTTCCAGTGCTTCGTTTACGCCAATTCAAAACTGCTGAAAAATAAAAAGAATACACGTCTCTGTAAGTTTGTTGTTGCTCGAACTCCAACTTTTGAAATTAGAATCAGTAGATTTTTAATTTACTGTCAAGCAGTACCATTACAATCTACGATTTAAAAAAAACCAAGAATACTAAAATACTCTTTTTGATCATTTTTAATATAATATTAATTAATAAAGAAAAGCACCTTTAAAGTTAGTTTTTATTGTTCATTAACGTCAAGTAAAAGGTAGAAGTAAAGTGTTAAGAGAGAAAAGAGCGGTAGCATAACGGTTAATTGCAAGCATTTGCAGCAAACGATAAATGATCATGAATGAATTTGATAAAAACGACATAGCTCATTATAATTTGTCTTTTTTTATAGTAAACCTATAACAACTGTAATAAATAAAAGTCAGTGAAGTGAAAGTTATAGACAAATTTGACTGAAATCACCAATGTTTTCTGCAAGTTTCTTCAAATACTTATTTGAATAGAATCGTATTATTTTTAGGGAAGACTCACAAACTCTAAAACCAACTACGATATTTTTAATGAAAGAAACACATTTAACATGATCATTCCATATTATATGGATTTTCATGGAATTTATATATACTCTTTAAACCTAATCTTGCATCAAATGACAGAATAACATTGACAAATAACGATATTATCGTTAGATAAAACTTATAAATATTAACATTATAATCTACCGATTCAATAGAGTTTTGATTTATCGTCTCAATTCCAGACTTGAATTTTCTTCGATCAATGTGCTTTTTGTATTATGTTGATACGCTCACTTATTTGGGTGTGATAACGTCAAATCAAGGAATTCAGTCAGCTCGTATCGTGTTCACATTGTTCACCATATGGATGGTTGGTAGTGGGATTATGCACGTGGTTAGTTGTACGAATGTTTTTTCACTTCTAACTATTAAGTACCACCAAATAATTCTGAGTTTATAGTAAATATGACAAATTAATGTTTTTAATTGGATTTGATGTAGTCATTAAAATATCATGAATATTTATCATTTCATGAAAATTTTTAATATCCATAACATTTTAACTTATATTGTTTAATGACCTAGTTGAAGTCGTTACTAATACTCTATGTAAGGATATTGTTGTATCGTGGAGGAGGATAATGTCGAAAATTCAAAGTTACATTTAATTATTCTTCGGATACAACAGATATAACAGTCCCTTACTGAGATAGGTTAATGCATACACCCATCACAAAAAACGTGGCTGGATTTGGCTTCACAATCGCTAAGATTTTTAACTTACTTGTGAATTGTGAACGACTTCAACTAGTGCATCTAGTAATACAAGAACAGAGGTCATATAGCCTTCATTTTGCAAAATCTACAGTATATGGATCTCATTGACTTCAGCTACTCTCTATTCGTGTCAATCTACTTGTACCGTTTCGGTCACACTTATTAGAAGCATCTCTAGGACTCTTTAGAAGTAAGGCTGTTCAGCTGCCTCATGGTCACACAGTTTATTTTATTCATATCATTACAGTGCGAACACGGAATGGTCATTTTACATATTATGGACGAACTAAGATCTCGAGGAGCTAAGTCTGATGATTAAAGAGAGTGATTGGATCACGAGTCATGAACTTGCGAAAAATTATCACTGAATATGTAGGCCTAGAACCCCCTTGAGGTGTTTACTGTTTTCTTTGAACCCTTCCCCACTCACTGTAAAGGAGATTTTTTCATTGATGAGCTTTCTTCAACAGGACTTAAAAGTTGATTTCTTTTTCCATCACGTCAATACTGGCGTCACTGGCAAGAGTACGGTGCATAACTCATGACTGTATACAACAAGAATAGATTATATTAATAATTCCTTTCAGTGAATTCCTCTTCATATTGTATAACTACATGTATAAGTCAAACATAAGAATAAATGTATATCCACAAGTGTTGCAATTTGTTACGACTAATGATTTTTTTGGTAATTAAACTGACTGAAAATATTTTGATTGGGAGGCTGGTTCATATGCAAATAAGTGATGATAATATAGGGAATTATATTTTAAGAAATTACGAAGTAGATAATCACTAAATATACAAGTAAACCATTAACTATAAAGAATATAAGTCAACAGCCTCTGGATACGTGACCAATAACATCACTAGTTCGATATATACATATTAACCTGCTAGAGCATTTGTTTTTGTGACTGTGGATACATAAATGTGCCGGATTTTTCAATTATGTAATTTGTGTTGAACAAACGATTCGATAATAATTTTCATCTTGGAATGACATCATCTGGTAATTTGCTTATAATAAAATCTAAATATTATAAAATTAAATCTATGTGAGGTTGCAAGTGTTTCATACTTACTAAAAAGTACAAGTCTGGAAAAAAACAGTAATTCGGTAGTAAACCGTTTCAAATTATCAGTCTGACATTATTGTTTAAAAAATGGTTCATAAGACGAATTGTGCTTGAACAAATAAAAGTCATTGAGTCACCACCAACGTTTCATTAGTCGATTAAAAGGTCCTCTTAGAAATTCATTGTATCACCGAAGGGTAGAATATTCACCTATTTATCACTCAAGGTAGATTTGAAACATCAGCCTCGCTCTGGTGTATTATTATTTAGACTTTATTGGCTAATTTTTGTTTAATGATATGGAAATTAAGTCCATTCTAAGCCAGATTATAAAATGTTTACTAGGTAACTGAACAGGAGAGTGTAGAAGTATCTACTTACAATATATTTTTGTATTTTATAGATCTGTTTGCTTAATAATACAAATTTATTGTTATTTTATTGAAAACAGAACTTCTTTTATTTTGTGCTGTCTACATTCCTGTTATCAATGATAGATTGAACATTTGGGAGATTTTTGGTTGAATGAAAATCATCGTGGTACATGGAGTTACTTCGAGTCTTGTTATTTTCTTTTAGTAACATTATCTACTGTTGGTTACGGTGATTATGTAACCCATTCAACATTGGGGAGATTATTTATTTGTATATTTATACCAGTTGCTATGGTTAGTTTTCTATTTTTGATGAATTCTACAGGAAAATAAATTAAGATGTTTTATCTGGAAATAGTAATTTGAGGTATTGACTTAAAGCAAACTGATATAAATTTTAACTAAAAAATTTGAAAAGTCATCGAAGACCTGGATAATCTTTTGAGTAGATGGGCTAGTTCATTATTTAATTTCTGTTACTTCAACCATCCAAGTGGGTTTTAAAAGCTATTATTAAATTAACTAAAATAGATGATAATTAAATTATTTTCATTGAAATCATGAACTCGTCAATATTAGACCATCATTGCGAGCACAAGATCACTGGACGGACGTTTCTTCTCAGTATGGGACTCTTCAGAAGTGTGCATCCACTATCCTGCACGCAGGGTTTGGACCCAGGACCTTCGGTCCCACGTGCAAACACTTAACACAGACATTATTGCCGTTAGATGACGGCTTGCTGGTCTCTAACTTCAATCGATGCACGATATTATGTGGCCATCCTTCGTTGTCTTCGGTGGGTAACTGTCTCACATCCAACACGATCAAATTCCACTGGTCTAAAGGTCTGGAGGCTTAGAGTTTGCGCTCGAGATCGAAGGTCTTGGGTTCGGTTCCCGTGCACGGGGTCGCAGACGGGTGCTACCGAGGTGTCCCATACCAGGATCGAACATCCGTCCAGCGATTCCAGGTTTTCACTGACAGTCTAACATTGATCGGTTCATAGTTTCAATGAAAATCAGCAATCTATACAACCCTTTACTGATAATTGAATTATTATTAAATAAAGTAGGTAAAATCGTGCTAACTGAAGTCTATAAGTGATCTTAGCACTTACAACTTCTGAAATTTGTTGGTATGATTTATAAATACTGAATAATATATTCTTATTCTAGACCATATGTATGATTAATACCTCTCACTATTAGCTATTATAAAGGAAAAGTTTGATGTTAGGATTCTCCTAGAAATAACTAACGTTTCTGAGATAAATATTAGTAGAAATAGGCAAAATTCTGAATCATTTTATTAGTTTATACTCAGAAAATGTAGGCCTGATTTGAATTTTCCCATAAGATTTGCTTTGATACAATTACAACATTTGTCTTATGAAGCTAGATCAAAGTTAACAAGCACATCAATAGAGCTTTTCAAAACTATGACAATGAATTTTATCTTAAACCTGGCCATTTATTGGTTAATCAATTTGTATATTATGATTTTAGAACCTGAAAAGAATTTATTGTAAAGAATATTCTTCGTTTGTAGATCTATATTTTGAAATAGAACGTATTTTAAAATGATCAAAAATAATAATCAGCTGCTCCATTCGTTTAAAACTTTATTAAGTCTTCATGAATAACATAAAATATAACTTGTATTAGTATTTAGAAATAATTATATTTAACGAAACAGTTTCCATAATTTTCTAGTTCAATGCAAAGAATATGGAACAAATTTGTGTTTAGCTACATTTAATGTTTAGTTGTTTTTTTTAAATACCACACTAAAAAACTTATGAACTTGATTATGACAATTTGTTGTTAGAATAATATACGAAATAAAAAAAACGTACCAAAGATTTGTTTGGTCGAAATCACCATACATTTTTATTGAGCTTTTATGATAAAATTACTGTCTAGTTCATTTCATTTTACATACCTTGGTATCTAAAAAATTGTCTAGACAACGAAACCTGAGTAAGAGAAGTAATAAAAACAATTAAATTTCTAACTTGGTCAACTATTTCATAAGTATACTGACCATTCAAGTAAACACTGTAATTCTAAAATAGGAGATTTGTTTGTTAAAATTAAATATGTCCAAAAAAATATTCTGTCTCATATTTCTGGTTATTCATATGGATTTAAGTCAACTCTCTCTCTTTAAACGTACATTTTGTCAATGTCTATATACACTGGAATAAATTCATCTATGAAGTATTTCACAGATTTACAATCTTACACAATTTTCAGTTCAAAAATAAACTTAGTGAATTCCATTTGATTAGAGAAATGTGGTATTCATTTTCTTGTACAACTTCATAAATATATAAATATCACGTATCTATTGTTACGGGAGTCCAGCTGATTTGATAAAATATAAGAAAGACTAATATACTTGAACTGATAATGATAAATGACACAACTAATGTATATATATTCCTTACTCAGAGGATAAAAACAATAAGTTGTACTCGAAAGTTGAATAAACAAATTTGGATTTATCATTTCAAAAATATTGTATTTCTTTCTCATTATTAATAAATAAGAAGTGTGAATTCAGTGTAAATTTTTTATATGGACACAAAAGAGGCAAAGAACAGAAGTGTTAACCATAAGTAGTTAAAATTATATCAGAAAGTGGATAAGCTCATTGTTTCCAGCATGTATTATCAGTGAAATATGTTGAATATTTTCAAGTGATAAATGCTTTTTTTGTTTTTATTACTTTCATTGAAATTTAAGGGTGTTTCAGCAAGTTTTGTACCAGAGTTATTTCGTAATTTCAATAATAATTATACTAATTCTTCGGATCGATATGAACCAATTTCAGGTGAACGGTGAGTACATGAAGGCATGTTTTATTTAACAGAAGTAGTTTTTAAAGTTATAAGTTTTTATTTTAATTTTGAGTGGTAAATCAATAGGTTAGATTTTTCACTTAGTTACAAGTTATCAAACATCACAATCGAATATATTTTTATCTTGCTTTTAGCAATTAAGAATTTTCTATACTAAACATCTTCCAGTTAGAGTATTATTTCGTTATTTCACACCTTACAAGCATTGTTTTATATCTTACCTAAAATGATACTCCTTTTGGGATAAAGAGACTTAATCTTAAAGATTAATTAATAAAATAAAAGCCTACTAATAAATTTATCTGTGAATACAACACGATGCGTGAATTTCTGAGCATTACTAGTGAAGATAACTCTTATTTTAATAAACGCTTTGTCTGTTTCATAAACATTACACATTTATAAAAGAATCGATAACGGTAATGGAGTTTCCATTTAACCTACAATACTTTCCAATTAAGAAACAATTGAGCTGTTCTAGTGCTAGATAACAGCAACTGGCACACAACACTTGAAAAACTAGAAAACAGTAATTAAGCAGAACAATTCGAATTAGCATATATGATAACGAAGGAATGACCTTGAAACACACAAAACTGGTGAATAGAAAGTAGTGACACCTAATCGGAAACGGGTAAAGGTTATGCAAAAACTTGAATTTGAAAAAATGAATTCGCCACTATTAATAATGAGACTCTAACACTGTTAACAAAAAGTGAGTATTCCTATTATTACCTTAGCAGTAAGCCACGAAAATTTGACCACAATTTGATGGGTAACATTAAATATTAGATATAATTGTTCTACACAAACATACCAAGTTTTTAATATCAAGATGTATACATATCACTTTGTGGCTTTTCTTTCAAACTAGGAGGGATTTTAATTGCAGATAAGTACCATTTAGTAAACCACTAAAGACCACAAACTACAAGTCAGTTGTTTTGTCCTACTTTACGAGTCATATGTTATTATGACTTCATAGTGCATCAAGACATTTAGGTTTCAAAGTGAGCAGAATACATTTAGGCTACTAAATGAAAATCAGAGAACCAAATCATGAACTACAGTTGGATAGTAAGATTGTTTGATCATCATTCTGTCATCCAGCCATCAATCTTTCATTTGCTGAGCGATTGATTTCTCAAAGTTTGGCTAAGAAAAATTCATTCATAAGTTTTTCACTAGTAGTACCATGAGACTTACTTTCGTATTACAGTATTTCGAGATTTTTCGTTTTATATTCTACAGACATGTTATCGTTTGCGGAAATTTTGATAACGAAAGTATACGAGCTTTTATCAAAGGTTTCCTTTACGGATGTCAAGCCAAAGGACGTATGAGAATAAACATGGTACTTTTGAGACCGTAAGTGTGCATAGTTTTTTATTTATATAAATATTCTGCTAGAAATCAATCACTTTTGTAAAAGTTTCTGACTTGTTTAGTAATTTGATTATGTGACAGGGCTTAAAACTATAACCACAGACTTACATAGCTTTATACTGTCTTTCATAAGCTTTTCGAAAATTTACACAACTAAAAATTTTTTAAGGAGAGATTACAATAAACATCAATCTATATCAGGTGTACTTAATCAAAAATAGTTATTCAAATATCGGTTAATTTGCATTGCATAATTTTTTTATTCATTATGGGGTAGTAATTATTTCTTCTTGAGCTTCCGGACAGTGCAGTACTGGCTATGTAAATGTTTTCAGTAAAAATAGGATAGAATATGAATTCAAAGAATGACTTTACATAATATCTACATATTTAGCAGTTCTAAACATACAAAAAAGCTAATAAAATAGTTTTCGTCACTGAGATTTGTAGCCTTACTTTTGTTTGACTCGATTGGCTATTGCTTTACAATATCTTTTACTGTCTAGATTTAGACTAAGAAGCCAACGAGTTGAATAATTTTGAGTTCAATGGCTAAAGTTTACATTATTTGCAGAACATTAATCGTTGAGCCTATATACACGACGACATAAATATGACGCGATCGCAATATATGTTACAACATTATTTCAGATGTTACAAAGAAAATAAGTTATATGTCGTTACAAGTATGCAAAATGTAAGATGAGGTTTCACGCGAGTAAGCTTCCTAAAGTGCAGTTTGATGACGAATGCTACATTGATTTGGAGATATGCAAATTAGACAATTCATAGACTGCTCACAGTTGTATCTCTTGAAATAGGTATCAAGTATCACTATTTGTTAAGACTTAATAGATGATAGTCGTAAACTGCATTTTATGAACTACAAACCTAACTTCCCATTGGTCAGCATGTATGAGGCATTATTGTGTTGAATCGCGCTACGAATCCCTCGAATGAATTGATTATTATCAAAAGGATTCAGAATTATGCTCTGAACCCATATGTAATTGAGAAAATGCTAACCATGATTTTTTGGATAGTGTTTTTCATTCGAAGATTTTATTATGGAAAATAATATTTTCAAACCATTTACTTTTAAAAATTAAAAAGGATACCATTGGATTATGCACTGAAAGCAATTCTTAGTCCATATCATGCATGGGTTCGATATTTTGTTGGTACACCGAATAATCCACACGATTTAGCCAGAACTAAATTAAAAGAAGCACGAGCAGCATTCATATTAGCCACACCAAATACAAAATTTCGTGATGATGAAGACAGCGCAAATATAATGCAAGCAATTGCAATAAAGGCTAGAAAAAAGAATTTACGCGTTATTTTGCAATTGCATTATTTTAGAAATAAGGTGAGTTTCTGAAGATTTTTTTCTGCAACATTATGGGAATTCGCAAACACTTTGATTTCTACTTAAAGATAATAAAGTGGTTGACTGCATAAAATGACAAATCCGGTCCAAATATTCATAGTTCTTTACAGATATACACTTAATATCTTTGTATCTATATGTTAGATTGGCAGATTCCTGGAAATTGGTTCTGTTCTTTGATTCGACTTTGACTAGTTTTATGAACTTGAAGCTTTTCCTCTATTTGATAGTTTAAATATTCATTACATATGACTGTTGTATACAAATATTTCGAAATAGTAAAAATATGAACAAATTATTTCCACTCACTCTTGAGAGGATCCTTATATAAGCCTGAAAAACGGTCACATCACAGTTATTAACAATTGTCGTATTCATTTTTGAAATTTTCCGAACACTTCAAACTAAACAAGTATGGAGCCCGATTTTGTCACATTTGAACAGCAGTAGCCACGTAATGTATAAACCTAGGATATTTAATAACAGTTTATTCCATCATAGTATTTGAACAGGATTCAATATTGTCGTTTACACACGAGGAATCTACAGAAATTAAATTAAATGATTCTCATGATCACAAATCACTGAAACATATTTCAACATTCTTGTTTCTTTACATGTTTCAAATCTCAGTAATGCTGATGAAATTCTTGCAAGACTATAAACCTGTTTTAACAGCAGTTCATTATTACTGCATGTTTTAAAATCTATGAAATGCTGCACATTTTATTTTTTGCAAGTCATATATTGTTTCGTATGTTCACGTTTATTTATTTTTAGTGTTTAATGAATAATTTTCCACGTTGGACATATTTAGCCAACGATATGGTAGTTTGTATGGAAGAACTAAAATTAGGTTTAATGGCGTACAATTGTCTAGCACCGGGTTTCTCAACGTTGATTGTAAATCTTTTAAATGCACATGGAAGTAAACCAAGAATATTTGAAGTAAGATACTTTTTGAAATTTATGTGAAATTAACTATTGAGTCGTTTCACAATCAAGTTGTATAAAATGTTAATTATTTAAAAACTAAATCTTGAAAGTCAAATATTTATCATTTTCTATTAGAAATGACAATCAAAGTACACAGTTAGTGACAAGCATTTCAAAAACATGAAATCCATATTTAGTGGTTGGAGATAAACGATAGGACGTGCATTAAATTTAAAATCCCACTAACATAAAAAATAATGCAATTGTTACATAACATGGTAGTTGCAGCGCAGCTTGATCGACAGAATTAAGACGCCACTAAGAACTAAACAACTTAAGCATTACATACCATTAAACGACAAATTAGCGTATAAATGAATCATTAATTTGCGTGAGAAACAACTTTTCACTGACATATCATTAAAAAACTTAACTGATATCAATAAAACATCCTCACCACTAGTTACTCTTTAAAATGAACGTACATCATAACACTTGTACTTGGAGCTAAAAATACAACTCTCAAGAGTGATGGATATAATAGCATCATAGACTTGCTAATTAGTTAGTTACTTAACAAATAAACTGATTTTACTAAATATGCTCAGTGGATAGTAACTTAATTAGGGAAACAGTGAATAGATTGGTAACAATTAACTGTTGGTGCTCACACCTGATACACCCTTGTGTTATTTATGTACTCATAGTAAATTTTGCAGTTTTATTTTTATTCTCCAGTTTGGAGATCAAACTTTTATTGGAATTTCCTAATATTTAGTGTTGTTGCTGTGATGGTACTATATTTTGAAAATTTACTCATCGGAATTTGGGATTGTCATGTTAGGTTCTTTGTTCGAAATCTATGCTTAGTTTATGCACTTAACTGAAGTTTTATTGACTAGAAAATTTTTTTAGGTTATCAAACCACTTATGGGAAAAAAACTATATTTTAAAGACATAAGAAATTGAATGTTAACTTGTTTATGCTGTTCATCTACTTTTATACTTCGGCCTGTTTTAGTACGAACGTTGGAGGATAGAATATGAGTATGGGTTTCGAATGCAACTACATGATGTTGGCATTAGTCATGAATTTTCAAACCTATTTATTAGAGACTTAGCTATGTAAGTTTACATTTAGATTTCCATTATCCATTTGTTTTCTTATATCAACCTAGGCAGTGGGTGTCACTAATCTACTGAAAGTAACACTCACTAATATACAATATCTGTTAGTATATTATAATGAATCACGGAGATTAGTGTTCATGGCTGAAAAGCGACGGTCCAAACGAAGAATACAGCCAAATTACAAAGCATTTATATATCACGTATACATAATCCTCAATCTTTCATTTGCATCTTGCGGTGTGTTCTATAATCCGAAATATCTTTTCGTCTGGTCATCATGTGTTCTGCCTGCACCATGCTCTTCGTTTGACGACTGTAACAACTTCAGCGCCACGTTTCGCTACGTACTACTTACAAACAATCTTGTGAGTTGAGTCCACCACAATGGTAGAGTAGGAAATAATAAATCAGTTATAAGAAAGGTGAAAATAAACCGTACGATTTGTGGGTTTGAAATTTGAATCATTTCATAACTTAATACTCACTCAAGTTAACTAAGTTTATCTTAATAAGCAATTTTACATTCGTGAAAGTGCTATTGTACAGCATTTTTCATTGATGATGTTGTAAACTTGTCTAATAGTAAGACAATTTCGATGCTGCATAGGAAAACAAATGAATTATTGTTCATAACTCTTAAATGTTCCAATATTTATAGAATATACAAGTGAATTTGTACGTGTCGAACTTTTTGGTTATTAAGGGATTTTGATGTAGACATGTTTATTTTCGGCACTACTCCAAAAACAAAAACCGTTTAATGTGCGAATGAACGTTTTATGCAACAAAATAATGAAATACCGGTGGTTAGCCAACGAAAATAAAAGCCTAAAATAACCACTTAATTTCAAGTGAATTTGAATGATACATTAAATTATAAAATACATTTTAATCACATGAAGAATATAACACGTTCAAGTAGATTTTTTCTCCCAGAGATCACCTGTTCTTAAACGTCTTAATTTGCCCATTCTAACGCTATTTAGGTTTTCTTTATTTCACAAAAATAATTGTATGTTTGATAATTAAGATCGACCAAAGCTTATTGATTTGAACAGGTTACTCTGAAGCAAGCATCCCTTAGCCTTTATTTTGTCTTAATAAAAAAGATATCAAGATATTTCCACTTCCCTCATAGTGTTCGAAAATCAAAACACTTGTGCATCTAGATGCAGAATCATAGGATTGGTTATGAATACCTGATGACTCAGTTGTTAACTAATTTCGTTTACCTAAACATATTAGGACGGATAAACTCAGATTAATATAAAAAGTTCCGTACTAAGTATATTTATTCAAGCAAAAGTCTTTTTAGTTTCAACGGCAAGATCGGTTACAAGAAAATGACTTAGTATCCATATTTTGTGGTATATTTATAGTGCAACCAGTCTAAAATGTGAAAAATCATAAAAATACTACGAGCTAGAATGAATAATAAAGTTATAATGCTCATAACTGGATTAAATTCAAAAGTTGGTTAGAATTGAGTTCACCCCAAGGTCTGAAGGTCTTAGTTTCTATCTCATATGAAGTTATAAGTGCACAATGATGGTGAGCATTAAACTACATTGAAATACCTGTCCAGTTGTTTATAGTTTTCATTGGTTTTCTCGACGACATCAGTTTGCAATGAAAACTACTTCCAAAATGAACACATTTCCACAAACAAAATTAAGAACCTTAAATTTCAGTTTACTGATTGTTCTGTGATGTAGGAGATAGATTTGTATGACTTTGTGGAAAACAAAATTCACTGTTTTATCAAATACTCTTTTCCAGACCCATATGTACTGCTTTTTTAAAAAATTTCCATACATCTCAATAAAGCAAAATTATTTAGTTAAGTGTATTGTGAATGGTAGTTACGTGGCAAGACAATTTTTGTCTTAATTCCACATCATTTGAAGATTCATTGAAAACCAGAGAGCGCTAGACACCTATTTCGCCTTGGTTTTCTGTTGTGAAATCAATCTATATGAACATTTATGAGGTATTTCTCCTCTTTCCTATAGTCTTTCGTTCTCGCTCCTTCTCTCTGTCTACCCTTCTACGTTTCAGTTTTGTTTATGAAAAGTGGAATCTTATTCTACTAGCCATACGTATCAATGGGCTAGAAAAATCTTCAATGCTTATAAATCCAATTGAAGTAAACTGTCCAGTGAATAATAATTCAATGCGCGCTATAGTTATATCTAGTGATTATAGTTCTGCTTTAAAGTAGGTGATTTACTTTAGTCTTTTATAATTTTAATGAAGTAACAACCATGTTTAGAGTTATATGTTCCTATAATCAAGTACTTAGATTGCTTACCGTGAATGATTGTTTTTCAAAAATTATCACCCTTGTTTATATAATAAATTAATGGTAGAAGTTTGACTAGATCATAGTCAACGTCTAGAAATTTAAAAGGTACAAATGGTTTTGTATATTACTGATCTTTATTTCTCAGATAAACGGCAGAATTCGTGACAAGATTTTAACTTAACCATCCAGTTGCATGTGAAAGCATGAGAACTTTTTAATAATAAGGTAGCAGTATTATAGAATAATAGAACATAAATTCACAAAACCAAAATATAAAAAGCGTTGTTTACACTGTAAGAGTTGTAGTCAAATGGAAGTCACTTTTTTTCAAATAACTGAGCAATATCAATGTTACTTGAAGTAGTAAGTTGACATGCAGATCATAGTTGCATCAAGTTTCAGTGTTGTTAGAAGTTAACAAAAGTAAATTTTGTGCTAGTATTTTTAAGTAAATAACTCAACCAAATTAAATAGTTTCAAAATGCAGCGATCACAACCACGTTAAAATACGAGAAGTAGAAATGTCACTAAACACAAAACGTAGACTCAGTCAATAAATCAAGTTAAAAGTATGGACGACTGTGGTGAAAAAATACAGTGATAACGCCTGTTATAAGATATGAGTTACAAAAATAGAAATAGAATCTAGACCGTTAACAGCAAATAGTGTAGCGTAAAACACAGAGGCTACCAAAAAAAGATCAATGGAGAGATAACAGTCTGATTTGACCTTAGGTATATATATATATATATATATATATATATATATATATATATATATATACTCATCTCTAACTAGTCTTAACGATAATGACTATTCACTAAAACTCCAGGAAATGCATCTTGAAGTCAGTCACTAGTGAGCAGATGACTACTATTATTAGAAGGGGTTTGGTGGAGATTTTTCTTAGAAATTTCAATAGTTGAAATCATGAGTTAATGGAAGCTAGACCACCATGGAAAACCTGGAAGCACTGGATGGCCGTTTCGTCCTAGTATGAGACTCCCCAGCACTACGTATCCACGGTCCCGCCCGCGAGATTCGAACCCAGGACCTATCAGTCTCGCGCGCGAGCGCTTAACCATTAGACTACTGAGCCGGCATCCAGCGGTGTTAATGTCTAATTTCAACCAATCCACAAAGTTGCGCCTACGTACACCATTGTCTTCAGTGAGCTGATATCTCACAACAGACCTGGTTGGACTCAACTAGTAACGGCTGAGGAGTCCCATGTTGGGACGAAACGGCCGTCCAGTGCTTCCAGGTTTTCCATGGTGATCTGGCTTCAATTGACTCATGATTTCAACTAGTGAACGTTTTTTAAAATCTACACAAAACCCCTTCTCATGATAATGACTATGACTAGTCAATTAGACTATTTGAAACATTACAGTCTAGGCTATCTATATAAATTTATCCTCGTTAATTTTGTAATATCGACCATTCCAGGTTTTCGTAACATTAATGATTAGTCAAGTATAAGTTTAACATTATTTATTGAAAATATTAGCTTTATGGATCGAAAAAGTATATTCTATAAAGAAATTTTTGGCATCCTTATAATGTATAACTAGCAAATAGAAAATCGGTCGGTCAGTCGAATGGGACGTAGAACCTGGGACATACGTGCACCGATTTAATTCCCCTCTCCACATTAACACGATGAGAAGAGATCATCACGGTAAATTTCAGAGCGGTTGAAGTAGAAACATTATCGGTGTAGATAAGACTAGACATACAAGATATGATTTGTGAAGTAGAAAAGACCATAAGATCATGTTGAGACTAAGGATCTGAGAGAAGATAAAGTAGGAATGATTCTGATGTATTTCACCCAACGTTTCCAAACATTGGTTACAACAATCACACTGGTCCAAAACACATAATCTGCACTTACCTTCATACCTTAGCCCAATTTTCACGGCATTATGAACTGATGTTTCATAGTGGTTTGTCTACCCCTGAATTTCTTCCAGCTTATTAATACATTAAATAACATCGCCCGTCGCGGTAGGCGGTGGTTGGGTATAGGTAATATATGTCCCAATCGCCTCAGTTGAGGGAAATTTACTACCACACCAGCCTATTTATTATCTCTACCTATAACCCTCTTCCAGCCTTAAGATTGCTCACTTCCACTTTATACCGAGTTACTTAACCAAAACTCAAGCAATTTTGCTTGAAGGCAATGGGTTTATTGAAGCTTTCTAAAGTCAACAGATAGTTTTAGTGTTTTTTCCTATCCTTATCCTTTTATAAAAAAAGTTATTATTATTTATCTTTAGTAATTAACGTTAATTCACATTTGAATTGCATTATTCGAATGTAATCTTTCTTAAAGTGTATTTACTAATTCTATGCTATTTTTTTCAAATGTTAATAAGCTTGCAGTATTATTGCATAACATGCGAAGGACATCTAATTGGTCAACCATGCAGATGTAGTCGTCCTGTGTTAGAAAAAAGAAGAAAGATAACAATTGCTAGAGGTGAGTTAGATATGTCTTTGTCAAAGATTGGTAAACAGAAATTTCAAAGACAAATAGGTGTTTACTTTAGAAAATTGATAGCTTTAGTGAGATTATAATGTTCAGTTAATTTTCTCCATACTACTGAAGAGTTAAATGTTGACTTTTACAGTCTGCTGGACGGTCAGCAACTATTCACAGAAAGATAACATCCGGTTTTTTATGTAATGAAATAAAAATTTCATAAGCTATCCAAAATGTCTTTGAATAATGAAGACGTAAGACCTTCTATAAAAAAATATTGAGATCGATAGGTCTTTTGAGACAAACGCAACAACAGATGCAGGAGAAGACGAACAGTGTGGGAGCAGCCTCAGCAGCAATAGGTCTCAATATACACAAAGGGAAAAGCAGGATTCTCCGATACAACACAGAATGCACCAATCCAATCACAATTGACGGGGAAGATTTGGAAGATGTAAAAACCTTTACGTATTTGGGCAGCATCATTGATGAACAGGGTGGATCTGATGCAGATGTGAAGGCGTGGATCGGCAAAGCAAGAGCCGCATATTTACAACTGAGGAACATCTGGAACTCAAAGCAACTGTCAACCAACACCAAGGTCAGGACAGTTCTACTGTATGGGGCGGAAATCTGGAGAACTACGAAAGCCATCATCCGGAAAATGCAAGTGTTTATTAACAATTGTCTACGCAAAATACTTCAGATCCATTGGCCGGACACTATTAGCAACAACGTACTGTGGGAGAGAACAAACGAGATCCCAGTGGAGGAAGAAATTAGGAAGAAGCGCTGGAAGTGGATAGGACACACATTGAGGAAAGCACCCAAGTGCGTCACAAGACAAGCCCTCACATGGAATACTGAAGGCCAAAAGAAAAGAGGAAGAACAAAGAACACATTACGCCGGGAAATGGAAATAGACATGAGAGGAATGAACAAGAATTGGATGGAGCTAGAAAAGAAGGCCCAGGACAGAGTGGGTTGGGGAATGCTGGTCAGCGGCCTATGCTCCATTGGGAGTAACAGGCGTAAGTAAAGTAAGTAAGTAAATTCATCATTATTAGTGGGGGTTATAATTTGTCCGTTTTCGACATTCAGGACCACATGAAATCATTCTCTGCTGCCACATGGACATGGTTACTGATTTTGAGTCTGTGAAAATTTAAACTGAGATACAAAAATCGAGCAGATGAGTCCTAGGTGGGACAAAAAGCATGTTCTAACTTCCCTCACTAGCCACCATTTAAAATATAATATTGTTGATTTTCCCTTTAAACTGGAGTTTTTTTATACCACAACAATTTATTCTCGCTTCTCCTTATTTTACCTAAAAGAGCTAGTTTGAAGGATGAAACTTTTTATCATAAATAAGAAAGCAGGCAATGAAATATAAGGTATTAGTCTCTATTGCTTACAATTTTAGATCATTAACTGTTTTATTGCTATCAGTAGAGAATATATGTAACAGTACATTACACCAAAATAAGTACAATCCTTCAGTTTCAATAGTCGTCCTTCTAGCTCCTCCTCAAGTGCCTAATCAATGTTCCGTATGTCGGAAACTAAGACATCTTCCAGTAACAGTAAGATATTGTCAAACTCTGGAACATTCAAGATAAGACACGTAAACTAAATTACTTCTGTTCAAGTCTTTAGAAACTTTATTGACTGACAAAATGATGTCATCGGCCTCAAAAATAGGAGAAGGCTATGAATTGTGCTTTAAGCTGAACGCGGTCAGAAACTAATGGGTGTCAAAACAGAAGTGCTAGAAGTTACGTTTTGGTTCGCACAAACCTAGAAAATCAAACATGTTTTCTTCTTCAGCCCAATTTGGTGTACGAACATGTACTTCATTTCATTTTTGCACGATCCACATATATCATGATAATTATTAGAGTGAATTACCTAGTATTGTCAGGATAAGCTTAAAGACGTGAACGGAAAGCATCAATCAAAAGACATTGAGTAACATAAAAACAATCATCTTAAAGTGACAAAGTTATTTTAAGTATACATTAAAAAAGAATACTGTTATCATGAGACTAAAAGTTTAAAATCCATCGAACAGGAACTGACATATCGCATTGTAAGTCATTATTAGTCAAAAAGCTGTGAAAACATCCCATCGCCTGTTGTGAATAATTGTCTCATATCCAACATGGTTGAACTCCACTTGTCAAAGGTTCTCACTAGAACTTCTAGAATCGCATCTGAATGTCATCTACAGCAGCAAGTAGAACGTGGTCATATAATATCAGAAATTGATTGAAATTACACTTGTACACCATCCCAAACCAGTAGTATAAAGCTTATGCCTTCATCGCGAAACAATTGGTCTTCGGTTCTATCTCACATTCTAGGAACTTGAGTGTGCACTGGAGACTCTCAAACCAGAACAAAACAGCGGTCCAATGCTTTCTGGTTTTCAATGGCTGTCTACCTAAGATCAGTCCGTGATTTGAACCATGGTTTATATTTACTGGTTCAATTAGTTTGTAATAAGTAATTGTCTTTTGATATTGTATGGTTTATTATGTTGGTAAAACAACTACTTAACTTTCAAAGTTATTGCTTCTTTGCATTACTTTTTCACAGGAAATTGTTTGAACTATTGACCTATTCTATCTTATTTTAGACTTAGCACTATATGAGCAAATTGGGAAAGCCAGAGAAAATGCTGTTAAAGCGTAAGCCTATTTAAATAAATCTGTATGTCAATATAGAACAATATAGGCATTTGTCCCGCTAAAAATAGCTATAAATACGTTTTCATAAACTAATAATCCAGTTTAATACCGACCAGTTTGAAATTGTTACTTACTATAAAGCGGATTATACTAATAAAACAATCTCAAAACAAATAAATCCATTGTATCAAAAATCTTTGAGCTAATACTACCTTTCTTTTAGTATACAATGTTATCTCCTGTGAAGATATGAAATCATTAAAGATAACTGTTGACTAAAATTGCATAATTCAGTAAGAGAACAAAATAGAACCTTAGTTTTACTGAATTATTAGGTTTATCATTTAGGAATATTATTTATATGAGCTTTGTGCCTAACCAACATCAATAATTCTTGTTAACTTATTTATTTTATGAGATCTATTTATTATGAAAACAAAGAAGTCATTATTCTGCTCATTAAGATAACTGTGTTCATCGATTAGCATTGAAAACAATCCTTTATATTTAACGATCAAGAGGTATACATTATGAAAGATCAATTTTTAACATTGATAAAATACTTTTTAAGTGGCAATGAAAAGTATTAGTAAGAGGAAAGGAAAGACGATAATTTCGAATAACTTGACCACTTAAAAAAAAGAAAAAAACGTCATACAGATGGTTAGTTAAATCTAAGGAATGATTTGTGTTCTAACAGATACTAATTTTTTTCTCAAGTAGATAGAATGTATTCATGATGGAGATTTAAAACTTACATGGCTACTATAATTACGCAATGTACGATAATAAATATCAAAGCATAGAATACTGGTGAAAATCACAGTATTGCTAGTCAATATTTCAACATAATAAAAGAAAGTGTATAGAATAGTGTGACTTCATATGCATTTAAACTTAGAAGAGTCTAGTAAAGCATACATTAGAGATGATATCCTGCAGTAAAGATCAAATGCTATAACGATATATCCGAATGAGTAATTGTTGAAAGGAACTATTTACCAGTCTTATTATTTGTCAGAGTATATGATTCTGTTTGTTCAATTTGTAAATAATAAAATGGATGGAGGAACCATCAATTATGTAGCCTAAATTCAAAACGTCATTTAATTAACTTTAACCATTTACTACTAAACATTTTTTATCATTCATAATAAATTGTGCACAATATTTTAATGGCTGCTTAATTGAACGAATTTTTTATCAAACAACTTTACATGAAATATCATATTGATAAAGATAGTATATATGCATGTTTACATTTAAAAATATCTATCCTTTCGTTTATAGTGAAACATGGTCATATGATACTAGATCTACACACTTTTTTCGTCATTCATTTACTGCAACATCACCTAATTTATTACATGATACAAGAAATCTACTATTTGATCAACCTCGTGGGCGAAGTGAAACAAGAAAAATGGATATAAATTCAAGAAATTTAGCACTTCCAAATAATATTCCAACAAGGTGTATGAATTATTCTCCAATACGAGCTCCATCACATTCATCACAAGTAGATCGTACCGGATCATTTCATTGGGTACCAGATATCCCACTTACAAGGGCCACGTTGGTAAGTGTTCGTTTATATAATACTAGGTTTACTGTTTATTCAGTAGGATGATACTAAGGTTCTATAGAGGATTCATGATTACAAAATGACCTGTTGTTTCCAGTCGTATCTTCGGATACACTAACCATCGAAGGAATTTAATTATTGTTCTATCCAATTATATATTCGAATCGTTAGAAAACCTGGTAAATTGCTGTTTTAAGAAATCAATTCAAGTAACTTTTGTTGGATGGCTAATCCAAAACTTGTGCTACAATTTTACGTTTTAATTCATACTACTAATCGTTTTTAGTGGTAAAATTAAAAGATATAATTTCTAAAAAAAATTACTGAATTTCATACCCAAATCTGACATAATGATGTTTTATTCAAACAGTCAGTGTTTGTGTTATTTTGTGAGAATAAAGTGAAACATACTATATCAAATAAATGCAAATATTTTATTAGTGTGGTCAGTATAACCGACTTCCAGATTGCACTGGTTTCTTCTGTTTGGCATGACAAGTTTTTTAATCGTATCGGCTTAGATTTTATTTACACTAATTTCGGATAACCTTGCTATCTTTATCTGTTAAAGAGCCCAAATCAAGCAGCAAGTCTGAATTTTAACAGACATTTCCTTGTATGTGTTGCTGGAAAATCAACAAACGGTCCTCTTAATTTGGAGAATTTCATCATGCCACTACGGTTCCATTGGCAACGTGTTCGAGATATCGTGATCCTAGGAGATAGTCATTTAATTGGGCCGTTGGAATGGGTAAAATTAAAAAATCTTCCAAGAATATTTATCGTCGACGTAAGTTGATCATGAAAATGTCTTCCATAGCTATAAGATTTAGGTCATTTAAAAATATTGTGAGATTTTATTCAAAAAGTTGTCACTACCTGTGTTATTCCATTATCAAAAACGACACTACACAAATTCTAAACAAAAAGTTTGCTCTAGTTTTTGAATTATAAAATAATGAAGAATAATTGTAGTATAGTAAAGAATACCTCTAACTTACAGGCTCAAAAAAAATATCGGAATTCTATATGTGTTATAATTCATATTCCAATACGATGAAATACTCTATTACTTTGTTACAGGTGACGAGACAAAATGACCTAGTTTCTTACAAATATTTTCATAATTCGATCATGTACTACAATCATGAACTTAGTGGAATTATTTTTACAGTGTTTAAATCATTGTGTTTTAAGAATATAATTTTCCCTGTAAGCTTCTTTTTTATCATTTACAATCATAAGAAAAATTTGAAAGGAAAAATAATTCATTAGAAGTATCTAGGCATGTTTATGGTTGATTGGTACCTTTCAATTAAATATAGAATACTAATTACAGTCGAATAAATCCAATCTAGTTAGTGTATTCAACGTAAACAAGGCGTTATGCAAATTTCTGCATGAAAATTAAGTGATTCGCCTTAATACGAAACAACCTTTTTAAAAAACAGAAATATCAACTGATATTTGAGTCAACTAAATTAACTCAGATAATGCAAGTAACACAATTGATACAAATTGTCCATGGAATGAAAACTCCTAGCCTCCATATCGATACACAGGATAAAAAGATGCTTATCATTTTGCTTGCTGCGAATTATTCTAAAGACAAATCCTACGCTGAAGACTTATTGAGAAAGATAAGAAATATCTCATTTTGCAAGGAACTATTGTATACAGATACATTGACAATGTCCCTGAAAATATGGCGGGAAAATAGCATTCTAAAATAAAAACGGGCTAGTAAGTAGAAATTTTCTTTAACCGAGGTAATAATAGTGTCACGCCGGTGAAATTTCAACTCTAGAAAAGCAGAAATTCAAATTAAAAGACAAAAGTAGCAAAATAGCGAGTAGGCGGTTCTTGTGGGGATTTTAACACTCCCAACGATAGTGAAACAGAAGCTTTAGTTTGACTGCAGGTATACATTATCAGATCAAAAAGTATAACGAAAAAATTTACTCAATCGAATACCTCGAGGTAGTCTACTAAGGATGTACATATGCCAATAAAGACTGACAAGTTACAGTTCTTAACACCAACTACAAGAAAATGCAGACCCTTACAACTAAATTATAATTGGAATCAATATTGTTTGAATACAAATTGGGTCTCGCTGAATACATTTGTGGCTATTTCATTCTCACTAAAATATGGTAAAATTCTCATGTGACAGAATTTAGTGTTTATCAGTAGACTTTCCATTTGTCCTAGGCTTGAAATCTTGTTACATCCAACATTAATTATTAAGCTAGATGTTATCTACTTTCACAAAACATAGGTTTGGTTATTTCTTATTATTCATGTAGTGATACTCATCTAGAGCTAAGTGTTATATGTTATATTCATATTCTATTTATCACGAATGTACATGAGCGAAAACTGATTTGGCGCGAAAGTTCATGTGTTAAAAGTTTCAACTAGCAAGCAACATTCACAAATTGAACAAAATACAAAATTAAATCAGTCAGTTTATTTGGTTAACTTGACAATTTTATGTATTGAGTAGTATCACAAATCTGCAAAGATTGGTTTACATCAATAAATATGGAAACGCTTTACCAGCCTAACGGGATGTTAAATTTATAAAGGATTCTAAAGTTTAGTCAGTTAGCAGCGGAGTGGTTATTAATTGTGGCCTGTTCGATAGCATACTTTCCATTCTATTGCGAAGCAAACAGTATAGTTATTAGCTATTCGTTGTCTTGTCAGACTGTATGGACAGGTGTTGCTCAGTTAATTAAAAGTAAAAAAGTACTGTTTTATTTAGTACCTTTAAATAATCTCTCAGTAAGTTTTGGAGAAACGAGTTAAATGGAACAAAATGCTGACCTGCAAATTAACACGATTCTTGTTTCATAAACATGACTAGTTTATCAGAATATATTTTGAAAACTTATTACGTCTTATTGGGAAGAAATTTTTATAAGTGACCTCGTTGACAGTCAAGTTGATATAAACAAATGGAAGAAAAAGAAACGGATGAAAGATATATTTTATTTCATTGAAATCACGAATCGATCTAAGTTGGACCGCCATTGGGAACCTAGGACTCGTGTGGGACTCCTTAGCAGTTCACACTCTCGACCTCAGTGTTCTGTAGGTTAAGCGTTCGTGAACAAGACCAAAGGTCCTGGGGTTGATTCCCACCTGAAGGGTCGTGGATGAGCACTAGTGAGGAGTCTCATATTAGGATGAAACAGCCTTCTAGTGCTTCCAGGTTTTTAATGGTGGTCAAACTCAAATCGGTTCATGATTTCAATGAAAGTCAACAAATTACACAACCCCATACTGACGGATAACCCTAATGTTACTCACCAGTTTTATTAAACTTAAAAATGAATAACTTTTTAAGCTCAAAATATTCGCTTTTGTCTTTTTATTTTTCCACAGGGTGATCCATGCAGTTTTAATGATCTACACTCAGTACATTTATGTCAATGTAATGCTTGTGTGGTGCTTGGTTACAGTGCGGAAGAGCCTCATTCACAATGTGTTGATCCAAGTCTTCAAGACAGAGTAACATTATTGTGTGCAATGAATATTCGATCATTATTGCAAAAAGAACAACATTTGGTTCATTTAACAACAGAATTACGTATGTCTATTAGATTCATTTAAAATATGACAAAAGTATGCAAATTGATCCACGTAGTCCCTTAGCTGCTAAAAGAAACAAAATGTCTTTACTTATTATAATTCCAATGTTTAATATTTCAATTAGATGTCAAGTGAAACTTTTTAAATGTATGCATCAAAAAAATAATTAAAATTCATATATTTTTATCTAGTAGTATGGATACTGTTGAAAATGGCACTGATGTAATCATGATATTCTAACAAAAAACGGAATTATTTGGTATTTAATGATCTTTAAATTTATATGGTACGATTCAAATGGAATAATTTGAAAATCTGATCAGTAAAGATTTTAAGTTTGATCTTGTCTAGATAAGTGGTTATCGATAATTTAAGTTCAAAAATATGAATTTTAACACCATCACATTAGGTGAAAGATCTCTAACATTGATTTTAAAATGAACCAAAACAGATTAAACATGTTTTGTTTTGTATTTGATTTTCACTACTAACAGATATTAATGAAGAACCGATTGACAAAAGGCAACACCAAACATCTATTCCATCTTAGTTATCGACTACTCAACAGTGGGTGTCCGTCACACCAAATGAATTGAGTACAAAACCCTTTGATCTCATGATGAATACATAAAATATAGGCTGATGAATTTACAGCATCAAATTCAGTCAGTTTATGATGAAAATTGCCTGGATAATAGCACATTTTACAAGTATTACCTTAATAAATATTTGGTTTCTTTGAATTATCTCAATTTTTCATCATTAACCAGTTTATACATGCATACATATTTTTCTCCCATGTTATATTTTTTAGACTATGAAAAAAATGCCTACTTGTTCAGTTCAGGTGACATACATGAAAATGATTACAAATTACCAGTATGGTTTAGTGAACCATTTGCTCGGGGGATTATTTTTAGCAACACTTTACTATATAGCTGTTTGAGCTCTGTAAGTGATTAAGTTATATAAATTAAGAACATGATTTACTATTTAGTAAATAAATAAACATCAATAGTGTACAATGTATATGTATATTAGTAATTGCATATATGAATATTTAACCTTAATAGACAATTACGATAAACACATCCAGTTGGTTAGTGCCTTTGCCTTTATTTATCAGTAAATTCAATTATCATGATAATTGCAAACAATTAAGTACTGAGAAATGAAACATGGTCAAATTCTTAAAATTATGCGTGAAGACCATTTCCAAGATGGTAGAAAGGAATACAAAAAGTTTTAATAAAGCTATTTTACTTAAATTATTATGTTTAATTCTAATGACTGGAACTTTGTATTACTTCAATCAACACATGGTTCAAAAATGTTTTTATTTAGACTTTAGTGGATTATTTATATTTCTAATCTACTCATTTCTCGACAAAACAAAACTAATAGCCACTGGAATGAATTCAACTAGTTTGTAAGTATGGTGATCATTTTAATGTTTACAGGTACCAAGTAAAATTTGAAATGAATAGATTGTTACAAATGCTCTTTTATTCTGGTATCCAATTTATCGCTACGATAAGCGATGACAGTTTCTGTCGGTAGTATTTAACCATAATTATTCATTGCAGTACTTTGTAATTGTTTTTTGTTGATTAGTACGATTGAATTGTTGAATGTCTGTTAGTGTAGACTCTCTGTAAATGCTTCCACTTAACAAATAACTTCATCTTGATTGTATTTTATAATACCTGGTAGATTAAACATACTTGTTACTGTAACCCTCTGGTGGATAGCATCTAATTATTTGAAGTAATCCCTTAAAACTGTTGTGACTTTATGTCCGGCTTCTTATCACGTGATTTATCCACCAATCAAAATACGACTTATACAATAATAGAACTGTGCCAAACTGATGACGTTCGACCGGTATGAGCAGCCTAGAGTCCTTATTGGTCCTATGTCCGCCTACCCCGTCCACTTGAGTCCAGAACACCAATACCAGCTTCCACTATGCAAATTAAATCATTTATTTCAGACATACTGGGTTTATATACCAAACAAACAGACCGCAACGCACCACAAAATAGAAAATAACACTTGTGCACAATAAAGCCAAAAAGTGACTGTGAACGTGGGAGGCCGTAGTCAATAAACTGAACATAGCTTAAGAACAGTAAATCGTACAATAATAAATTATAAGTCAAAATAAAGCTTATAACAAGGGGAATATAGATATACATAATCTAGTTACTGAATATTTATACCATGGCAATATATAAATAATAATAGTCCATGAATAAATCTCAGACGTTAATCGTAATGTAATCTTCACTAGGATATAACAGAAACTTATGTATAGATAGTGAATCTTCAAAATGACAAAAATGGCTCATTATCAATTTAGTCACTAGTCATTACGAAACACATATAGTGAGGTAAATTTAGAAGACTGAATACAGAACGAAAAGTTAGGCGTTTTTTATTCTAAGAAAAAAATAACCTTGCTATTTCCATAAATCAATTTTCCGTAGCTTGCGGATACAATATATGGAAACAAATAAAATGCTGAATCATTCTTATAACTAATCTAATTCACGAACTTTACTCATTCAAAAGGAACAACATGTAGACATGGTTCAAAAGAACGGAATAATGAAGGTTTTTTAAGGAATATAGTCATGGAATAGTTAATGCAGTCTTACAGTACAGTGTTAAAAAACCTACATTAAAGTTATATACTTAACGATTTACAAAGCTTTTGTGTAAAATAATTTTAAAAATTTCCCTTTTTCCGTTTAGTTCTTTTACAATGATAATATATTTCGTTTCCTTCGAGTTTTAATTTCTGGACAGTCAACTGATGAACTTGAAGCATCATTTTCTGTTGGAGCAGGTGAGATTAATAAATCATATAATCTCGTAGCAATAAACAATACCCCTAAATAAACAATCCTATAGGTACTTAACATTTTTATGCTAACTTCGTTAGTTTTAATAAAACTAGGCATCGATGCCACTTTGGTAGCCTATTATACATATGTGCTGCTTATTCACCTTCTCATCTAACTAGTTTAGTGGTCTTGTCTTCATCAACTTCTATCCTGTCTTCTTGATTGGTGATCGAGTGGATGTATTCAAATAATTGTGCTGCAACGTATAGGAAGTTTATTAACAATATCGTCACATTCTGTAAGAAGTGACTAGTGAGTGACAAAACAGATTATTGTTTGGTCTGAGTTTTCAAAATAGTCAACTTTAAACAGCTAGATCTGTCTCGTTCATGGTTAAAATAGTAATTTTGCCTCAGACTACTACTTTCAACCCTGTCTGGAACCTCTTTGAAGCTACCTCAGGTCCTAAACTCGGGTAAAGTAACTAAATATGTAAGAATACCACTTCTGTCATGTAGCATGAAGTATTTTTCTAAATTTTAAATAAGGCTTCTCGGATTTTACAAAATTTCCAAAGGTCTTAATTTTATGTGAGAATAAGTTTAATATTTTTTAACTATGTATCGTAAATGTAGACAGAATGATTTCTGGGGGGTTTTAGTACTGAAAACATGTCAATAAATGAAAAAGCATTTGAATTTAGACATAAAAATTTTTAATTGTGGTATGCATTTTCTACTCGGTTATGGACTTAAAGTCAAGTTATTGAGTAACAACTTCGAGCCCCTTCTTGTCTATAGATGTTTGAGGAACAGAGTAGAATATACTATTCTTGAATATAGTCTATTTAGTCTAAATTATTATGTACAAAACATAGCGGATTTATAGGATTATATTAACCTTCGTTACATCAATTAGTTAGGTTAAATCAGTAGTAAGTACAAGATAGATCAGGATAAAGTCAGTTACATGATAAATAGAATATCAAAATAGTAAATAGAACAAAAATATGTCATAGACTAAATATGCTACTACTTTGTGTTTTATCGATTTCGAAACTCAAAGATTAATTTCAATAGATAAAATATCACGAATGCAAAATACTGTCTAACTTAATTTGATGTAGAAACTCGAATAATTGATAGAAAACATCTGAAACCCCATACTAAAGTATATTTAAAAAATTACATTTATCCTGAAAGTGAAGTGTTTATTGATCAAAAGGCTATCACTTAGTTTCGACTATACTTGTATAAGGTTTCGGTAATTCCTACTTTCCGACTGAAAAGTAAATTTATACGAAATAGTCATCTCGGCTTAGTGGTTAAATGAATCAACGGCTTCGTAGAAATGTTAAGTTAGTTTTAGCAAAGAAACAAAATTGCGTCCATGTACGTTTTCAGGTTACACAACAAGAAAGTTAAAAATAATATTTATACCTACATGGCTAGTGGTAACAACGTAGGATATTTTGAAAAATTTATTTGGACATTTTGTAACCCAAGAAACATTGATTGCTTAAGCGAATTAGAAATCTGTTATACCTACACATTACGGTATAAACATGACATGAGTATGTAAAAATTTAGTTCGGTTTTTGAAAACAAATTATTATCATGTTTTTTTCTTTAACTTCGTGACAAAATAGGTCTACAACAACAAGCAACACCACAGTCAGCTCGAATGGCTGGAGTAAAAGTTTCTTTGAGGGGATTTCGTCATGCACCTTTCAAATTCTTAACTCGAATATCACTTCGAGTAAGTACACAAATTATAAACTTTTTGATGAATATATAACAGATCTAACAGGCTTCAGATTTCTATAGAAACATATCGTCAGGTGATCACATATTTTGTTTCTCACACTGAAGGTATTTTGATTTGCCGTGATGAGCGAAACCTTAGAAGGCTGTTAGAGCGTTTACAAGCAAAAAACCAGTCAATTTATTCGCCTAAAATATTCTCTGCTGATTTTGACCTGCAACTGGCAGTCAAAAATGAATGAAACTTTTTTAATTAAAGCGGTCTATTTACTTCAATTTCAAAGTTTTCAGGATGAAGTTGTCTACAGCGTTCCTTGTCATACTTAGTAAATCTGGTTATGTTTTCCGTCCATTTAATGGGTGAGTGCTGTATATTAAAGTGTACATGGCAAATGTAGTGATGCGCAACATATCAAATGAAAAACATAAATATGTGGCAAATATCAGAACTTGAAATCTTTTATAAATATTACATTCAAATATGGAGCACTCACTCATGAAAGAAACGGAAAAATGACCGAAAGTGCTAGGTACGAAGCAATCAGTGAACCTTGAAAACACAATGTGGATAACCTCAGTTTGTTTTCTTACTAGGAAATAGATGTGGCTTGTTGTATAGAAGTAAAACCTTCTGCTTCACTAGAGAAATACCTATCATAATTCTAAAACTGTACCTTAATATTGTAACCTTACAACGAAAATTAACTTTTTTTTATCTTTTCAAATTTTGTCAGTGGCATTTGTCTAGATTTTGTCATAAATGTCTTCACTTTGATGAAATAAATATATTAATCATGCACGGTACGACACTACGAATAGTTGTAGGGACGGCGTTCGGCGAACTCAAGGAAGCTCAGAAAGAGCCGAAAACATTACATCCAGTCATCTCTTGGAAGAACACTCCAGAATCTTGACGTGTAGCTTATCGATTGTACAAATGCTAAAAACCACTGCACGAGGATTGGATGACTGTAATGATGATTTTATTTTTACTAACAACTATAAATACCTGAGTAATTTGTATCAAAATTAAGATTCCTTCCCGCTAGTCGTCTGACTTGCGGCTTGGAAGGTTCGGGCGTTCGAGTGCTCAAGTTGTACGCGGTATAGCAAGGAAAATATAAGTTCATGATATAACAGTAGGAAGGTACACTAAATAAGTATATGGACAGTACAAATCCGGAGATTTTGCATTAACTGCTGTAACATACGTTGTTTAATGTGACATTGTTTGTTCAAGAACACACTACGAAGTAGTGTCGTTGAGAATAAGGATAAAGCAATCTGTTGCAATAGTCTAAAATTATACTTAGTGAAGTAATTAGTGGTAGTGAAGATTTGCAGTTCAGGTGGGTAACTTTGGCAGTGTTCGGTTCTATGAGCTAAATGGCTTAATTGATTAACTTCATTGTCGTCATGGTCAACGTCATCAGCCCCTACTTCATAGGGAAGTAAACTTTCCGACTATTCTATAAACATGAAGCCAGTCCATTATGACGACCTTGTTTTCATCCGGTTACTTTCGAGATTTTATCATTTTAAGGTATCTTTTTGTTCTTGCTGACAGTTTTGATCGGTTAACCTCTGACCATGTGATCGTCCGTTATTTTTTAAATCGGATCTATGTCTCTGTGTATGTTGATTGCTGAGTGACCTGAATGCAGTGCTTCTGTAGGTTTCTGGAATTCCCTCGGTCGATAAATTTAGTAGTTTTTCAAATTCATATCCCTAGTTGCCTGTATGTAATAAATGATAGCATCTTGTTCTTTATCATCACTAACCTGTGTCTGCGTATAAGTGAAGGAAGCATCTACTTTATCCAATGTTCTGCCTTTTGCAGCTGTTTTGGTTGAATTCGTAAACAATGTTTCAGTTATCTTCGTTCATTGTTGGGTCTGAAGTCTTCATTGGATGGAATGTGAGTTGATTGTGTTCGCTTGTTGAGGACGATGGTTCTGAAAGATCCCAGAATCTTAGTGCTGATTCCTAAAACGTTTTTTTTATTTATGGTATGATGATCTAGTTCTCATCAGTGCTTATGTTGTGTCATGTTTATTTACTGAACAAATTTTGATTACGTTTCGCGGGTGACCATTACTCAGGGATCCAGTATGTCGATTCATGGAAAAAAAGTCAATAAATCACACGGTCAGAGGTTAACCGATCAAAACTGTCAGCAAGAACAAAAAGATACCTTAAAATGATAAAATCTCGAAAGTAACCGGATGAAAACAAGGTCGTCATAATGGACTGGCTTCATGTTTATAGAATAGTCGGAAAGTTTACTTCCCTATGAAGTAGGGGCTGATGACGTTGACCATGACGACAATGAAGTTTATCAATTAAGCCATTTAGCTCATAGAACCGAACACTACCAAAAGAAAAACTTTACAGTGACCAGTTAGCTATAAGCTGCTGCTCGATATATCAAGTCCATTTATTTTAAATTCCATAGATGTAAACAAAAAGTATACTCTTTGAAGAACACAGTTCTATAATTACCTACGCTATATGATTGCTAACTAACCGAACATTTATAATAATACAAGAGTTTAGGTGCACGACTATGTCATCATTGTTCAGTGTTAAAAACGAAATTCCTCACACGTTCTGAATGAAACTAATGAAACCGACGTTGAGTTACTTAGTCGCAAGAAAGATGATGACACTGATTAAATAATTCTGTAGATGAATAGTGAATCAGTCAATCTACAACTTATTTTTATAGTTAGAGGCTCAATAGAAACAGCAGTGAAACATTTTTTGGACTCAAATTCATTTAGCAATAGGAAAATCAAATGTTGATTGCAGTATATAATCCATAAAATAAGATTCATGACATTATGGTCTTAAAAAAATGGGTAACAATTTGTTGAACAATCAACTAGAATCTACCCATAGATGCTACTCTTCCGTACCAATGTATAATTTTCTTGTGACTAGTTATGATGAATAATGGAGAAAGTAATCAAATTTATAGTTGTGAAATACAAGGCCAGATTTAGTAGTTATATATATATATATAACTTGCTTAAGCCTGTTATCCCACATGAAGGAGCACAAGCCACCACCAGCATTCTCCATCGAACTCAGTCCCGGGAAGTCCTATCCAGTTGCTATTCATTCTTTTGACATCTTCCAATTCTCGGTGCATTGTGTTCTTTGACCTTCCTCTTAATGTTTAACTTCAGAATTCCGAGTTGATCCTCTTGGTCCACATTGTTCGAATATTTCATGTACCTATATTAATTGTTGCTCTGGTTCTTAAAAGGGGCATCGGCCTCGTAACCTTCGAAGAATCTCGGCTTCCACCATGAGGCGTCATAATTCCTCATTCAACTCCCAGGGCAGAGTTCAAATGGTTTAATTTGTTTATTCTGGTTAGCCCTGTTTTTAGCAATGTTGTTTTCTACGGGATGAGGTTGCTGACCCCATGCCCAACCCTCCATCTTTACCCGGGTTTGGGACCGGCAGTAGCCCTAGAAGAGCTATAGGAGGAGTTATATATATATATATATATATATATGTTATATTAAAAATCTCATTTTTATTTAGTTTTAAAGATGTTGCCAGAACAAATAAATTTAGGAACAAACTGATTTTAAGTGATAATACATTCGCTAATGGAGTGTCAGTTATTGGATCATATGTTTGATGTCAGAAAATGATGTTTGATGTGAAATAAACGTTATTTATAAATAAATGGATTATGACAAGTCGACAGAAAGTGTACTACTATTTTGTTCTATATATATTTCATATTATAACGTAGTAGAGGCTATTTATCAGCTCAATTTTATAAATCATAAGTATGTAATAAATTATAAATTCATTAGAGATTTTGTGTATTCTTATAAGCCTCTAATATGTAACAAAATAGAATCATTTAAAATATATATTTAACTACAGTATAAATAAATTATACTACGTATGATAATTTGAGTATAGTAAAGGAAATCACTACCATTTGAAGGGGACCAGTCTGACTGGCTTAGAATTGTTGTACGAGAAATAAACTTAAATGTCTATGGTTTATCATATTTCGAAAATCAAAGGGACTTTGTTGTAACTTCTCAAGAGGATATTATTCAAGTTAAATGTAGATCAACGAAAAGTCCGATTAAAAGATTGGAGTGAAGAATGGACAAAGAGACAACTATTTCTATCTTTTGTAGATTATAAAGTAGCAAACTCGCTACAATACTTAAAACCATACATATATGGTCATTTATATTTGAGGGAGTCGAACATTTACGTTTGATTGAAAAATAAATATTTCAATTCGAACTACTTATAAGTACCATGTATATATTCCTGGTAAATTGCAAAGGAAATAACCGTTTCAAATTTAATATTCATTACACATAAAAAGGTGAAATATGTTTTACAATAAATTGTATAGGCTGATCGAATATAGTTATCAGTATTTTGTGAAAATCAAGAATTACGTTTTGGTGGTTAAACGAATTTAAATGAATCAAAAGTAACCATTAAGAAAATTGTCCGTAATGATTTACTTAGTTTGATCTAATAATTGACAATCTATATCACAAATAGTTATCTAGCGATAAAGCTGTATACAATGACTAGAAGTAAATAACCTTCAAAACGAAAGTACAAATGATTGCATTCTAACTTAAATGAATAAGTTAAAACAAATGGACTCAACCGCTTTGCAAAATATGGATAAATCCAATAACAAGAGCCTCCAAAACATACCAAATTAACTTATCATATAACTAAGGCAAATCATCGATACTACCAGAAGATCTAAGCTACAGGAAATGAAAGCTATCAAACAACCTATTAACGTTTTAACAACAAAGATGTGCGGATAAAGTTAAAAACATGTAGATTTATAGTAAGTTTTGAGAAACGAAATTACAGTAAATTTGTATGTTCGATACATTCATCGATTTCATACTGAAACATGGGTATTTTATTCTGTACCAGCCATTTAGGTAAACAATCTCATAAATCATTTCTCGCTGTTTATGTGTGTAATATTTATACGTAGTACATGCACTTTTGCTAACATACATACAATTGGCTCAGTAATTTAAAATAAATGTGTATACTTACTATTAAAAATTTTAGAAGCCACTTACCTTTAAAGATGTCTACATTCGCTGTATAACATGTTGGCAGATTTTATGTCTTGGATTATATAGATGGCAAGAAAATGGTTTCCGATATGTTATTGCTAATCCAATGCCAGATACTCAAATTTATGAAAATGATATGGTAAGCGTTGAAAGTCATATAAAACTGATTTTAATTGAAAGTACCTATACGGCTGAAGATTTCTTCCTAGGACAGGCTGATTTTTAAAGTGAAAAGTCAAAACCTATCATGTAAGAGGATACTTATAAAAAAATGTCTTTACAATCCGAAGCAGTGTCATAAAATCCATAATGACGTACGTCGTTTATGTAGCACTTAGAACCTCATCAAGCTGAAATAGATTTATGCAGTTATTTACCAACTAAGTAGTTCTAACTTTCGTCAAATTCCCAGTTGTCCGGGGAAAAACTATTCGACTGTGTCAAACGTGTGCAAACAATACATTGTTGTCATTTTATGTTTAAGTAAACAGCTTTAGGATTTGATTGCTTTAGAGATAATATACATTAGGAAGCAGTACGAATCAAAAAGTACGTCGCTACATACACCTGCTTCACACTAATTGATTAATAATAGCTTTTTTATTTCACATGTGAAAATGATCATAAGTTTTAGGTCTTGTGGTTGAAATAACATAATAGGATTTAACTACTGTTAATCACCAAATCCCACCATATCAGAATATATTGTCGTTCCTGACAATGTTGATGTTAAAGGTCACTTATCTAAAAATTTTTACATATTAACTGCACTTGGTTATTAAGTAATCAAACAGTCCCAACAAGTTCCACTAGTTTGTTTATTATGATTCTTTTGATATTTCAGATATTTTCTCCATATAAAAAGTTTGATTTTATGTCAGAACATTAAAAATAAAGATCTGACTTACTTTAAGAATACGAGGTTTTTAATTAATGTAATCAAACTGAACCAAAAATACATTGTTATGAATAAAGATTCAAACAGTGTGAAAAATATATGATCGAATTGTAAATCCCAGACAAATGTCTCTTCGAAGAAAAGAATCCAGGGACAGTTTTCATGTTGAAAGTGGATACTCAATTGAAGCACATTCATTTAGTTGGTATTAGTACTGGTATAGTGTGGGTTTTTCGGCACACGCTTCTGACGAAAATAAGTCTAGGATGAAACAGCTTCCTGTGACTGACAAAGTTAAAGTAGTATTTGTATACTTCTAGAATTTTAACCTCCTATATAAATCACAAGCGCATTTAGTAAGATGAGCTTATTGGTACAAGTCTCATAAAATCCGCCTACACAAATATGAAGCATTCTCTTAGAGCCTTTGAAATATTGTAATGATTTACTTGAGTATTATTGTATAATGAACTTACTTGCTAAACTCCTACAACTCCCGTGTTTTGAAGTACTGTGTTTAGTAAAATAAAATTTACCGAATTTCTCAAAATTAATTGGTCCAGTAAGTAGTTATTATTGCAGTGTGGTTTGTTGTGTAAACTTTAGAAATTGGTTTCTAATACATTTGCCACAAATAAAGTGAATTTCTCTATATCCTAAGTTTTTTTATTTGTTGAATATTGAACTTGTAGATATCTATTTTACAAAAACGGAATGAAGTTTTTAAAAACTTCACATAAAATATGCACTTTTAGTTGTAATAAAATATATCCTAAATAATCAAATTCGGTAGTTGATATAATAATAAGATTAAAGCCTTTGATGTATGAGTAGGTCACTTTTTATTTTCATTAGCTAAATTGGTTTAGTAAACACAAATAGTTGTTAATATTTATACACGGAAAGTAGTTTTGTGGTTCCTGTGATTTATGTTATCAATTTATACTAAAATTTAAGTGTACTTTGGATGTTTATTATCATAAATAATTACTAAATTATTTGGAACTAAATTATTCTTTATGAAATAAGTTTGAAATAAAACGTCTAATATCGAAGTTCCCATCTACAAAACATCCTAAAAAGGGATATTATACAATAAATAATGCAATATTCAGTAACCAGTGATTCATTTACAGTTACATTTAAAATAAAGATATTACTAGCGAGATTAAAACCTCTTAAATTTGCTTATTTTGGCGAGACGCTGACATGAAAATTACCAAGGGATTCACAAAAATCTACGTAGTTGTGACTCAACTATCTGTTCCTACAACAAATGGAATTTTTATTAATAAGATAAATATAGTTGGAAAGTATCAGGAAAGTTTGTATATTTTCTTGTCATTATGAAAACCACACGTGGTAGTCAATTACAGCAGCTAATCAGATCAAAGTTTATCGTATTATATGCCTGAAAATTTCAATTAATGTCTGTCTGACTGTTATTACTAAGTGTAATTCCTTTACATTTAAGGACGCGAGAGCATACATAATTAACAACAAAACAGTTACTTTGGTGGAATTATTATTATTGTAACTCATTGTATACATGTTAATACTTTGACGTTAGATTATTGGGAGCAATCAAATATGAGCTCTGGACCAAGCTTTTGTTCTAGCCGGTACTCATCAGGAAGACAATGACTGAAGTTCCAGTATGTTCATGAGATTTAAACTTATCTTGTCCAGAGATTTAGGCTTTAGCTTTAACTATCAGCTTAGTTGTTGCTTGACAGCCAAGTCATACATTCAGTTCAGTACTATTCATGAACAGTTCATATTAAAAACCTAATTTTTGTTGTTTCCATACGATTTTCAATTTGATTTTGCCATTAACGCCTTTTACTTTAATTTCTTTAAATTTAGTTTTATTGTTTCATGCCAATTGATCAGGATGATTCAAATAAAAATTGGAAATTTTCCGAAGTTATACAACCACGAAATGAAAGTACATAAAGATGTTTCATTTAATTAATTGATCAATAATATAAAAATGAATTACCAGAGATATTGAGATGACAAAGAGTCTTATTATTATTTACTATTTCATAAGTGCTGGCATTTGTTATTGTAATAAAATTCAACCGAATTATTCATAAACTTACATAGATAATTAATCACTGTATATTATTGTTATTACCAACCGCTAGTTACTTGGTAACAGCATAAATAAAAACTGCAAAACACTTAAAATATTAAGGGGAAATATGTTTGTAAAATCTCAGTTATTGAATTTTGACCAAGTCCAACGTTTCTCTCGGCAATCTTATCAAAACTTTTTCAAGGAAATATAATCAAACATCAAAATTATCAAATAAAAATAGGTACATTGTTTTTTGCTTAACTGTATACTAAACAGATCATTCAATCATGTTATTAATGTTGAATGTAAGAGTTTGCCGTAGTGTGTATGAGATACCTGGTGTGTAACGAAGAGTGTGTTGATCGGTGAATGTTTGACTCATATCATCAATAAAAACTGTCCACTTTCTTCAGAAATCCACCGATTAGAAGTGATACATAATCCATGAAATTTCTTCTCTCACCTCAGATCTGCTTACAAATATATACAATCTGTTATCTCGACACACTCTTCGTTACACACCAGGTATCTCATACACACTACGGCAAACTCTTACATTCAACATTAATAACATGATTGAATGATCTGTTTAGTATACAGTTAAGCAAAAAACAATGTACCTATTTTTATTTGATAATTTTGATGTTTGATTATATTTCCTTGAAAAAGCTTTGATAAGATTGCCGAGAGAAACGTTGGACTTGGTCAAAATTCAATAACTGAGATTTTAAAAATATATGTTTTATCCCTAGTATCTTACATTAACTCGGCGCCCAACTACTGTGAAACTATTCGTTCAAATTTATACGAAAGTTCTCATACTCTTAAAATATATTGTAGAAAGTAGAGTGAGTGGATCCAAAATCACTAATTTCATGTTTAAGACTACAACTGGAGGAGTAAGTGCTGCGTTTGAAACACAGTGAGATTAATAATTCAGGTTAAATATATTTGTTTAAACATTGTTACAAGGAGGCACCAAATATATATGCGCTACACGAATCATTTGATTTGTGTGGGGGCTGGGATGCTGCCCGGGTGCCCGAACAGAAGCAAGTGTTCTTCCTAGGGGGCCACACCATAAGCCTTTGACCTAGAAGTCCAATCTACAAGGCAGTGGAGCAACGTTAGGAGATGCAGTCCCACGGTAGCCGTTGACCGACAATAGGTTTATATGCCTTTTGTTTCCTCACGATCCTTGAGCACATGTTCACCATTGTTTTGGAATCAAGGTTTTCCAACCCTCTAGGTGGATCTTCCGTATCTACTAACCCGGCTAAAGCGCCGAACATTCGCTCTTAGTCCTGTCGAGAGAAGGCAGTGAGTAGGACTTCCCTGGCATGGCTGTATACGTGTGGCCAAATGAGAGCATTTTGAGAGGGAGAGCCAACTCTCGCCGCCCTTGACCGTGCTAGGGCATTGGGGGGGAGGGCGAATTCTTTCAAATTACCTCAACAGGTAAAAACATGAATATCAGATTGCAACAGCAGCATCTGTTAAAACTCAATTTATAAGACAACTTCTATAGGTTTTTGGGGATTATTACATTATACGGCACTAAGACGATAGCAAACAAATAAACTAGATTGTTTGCCATTTAAATTGAAGTTCAAGTTCAAACTAAAAAGATACAATAGGACAAACAGGAATTAATCAACTACGTCCATATGACAATATAACCATCAGATCGGACAACTTCACAAAGAAGAGATATAGAAACCCGACATAAATCAAAGATAAACTAGTACAACCTCATAGGCACTTAGATAAATTTTAGCATTTCAATAAAACTTCATCACATCAGAACCATAAAGTCTTCAAATCATTTAAAATGAAAATTAGATGTTTTATTAAAGATGGACTCTAATCATATCAGAAGTAGTGTTTACAGCACATTAAATTCATCTCCCACAGATTTTAACATCTATTAACACTAATTACACAGATTACTAAGAATTAAGATAAGGATTAAAAATAATTTAGCAACAGTTGGTGTGATATCAGTCTAACAATCATTTGCAGTATGTGCAAATCAGATTCTTTTATGGTAACAATACAGATTTACTAGATTCGGGAAAAATTTAATTAAGAATGGACCAAAACATTCGGGAATTTCATAAGATAGAAAAACATAGTAAGTTATAACCGTTTGCATATAGCCTTCGTGGGTATTCAAGGATAAGCTTATCAATCTCTGTTGGTATATGAGTCCCTTTAATGAATGTCTTTGTATCACCTTCATTCAAAAGGCGATTATTTTTTAAATAGTTATTCGAAGAATTCAAGATTTGTTCTTTGCCCAATCTGTAAATCAGAAATAAGTCACTTCAGTCCTGCGTATTAACAACACAAAAGATATAAATATTTGCCAATTAATGCACGATAGTAGTACTAGTAACTAACAAAAGTTATTTATCATTACGTATATGATTAAAACATCGAAATTTTTAACGCAACAATTTTCGCCAACACAAATGTGTACCCCAGCTGAGAACTGCGAAACGGGACAAAACATGCTTCAGATCCTACTGTTAGAAAATATTCAAAAACTTAAGGGGATTGTAGACAGTACAAACCATTTATTAGTCAGTTTGAAAAGTATTAGTCATAGTTACTAAACGCACACTAAAAGGAAGTTTAATGCAAAAACGTGATAGGGTCGCCGTACCTATAAAGTTTTATGAAATCACTCAGTAATACCGGCCTGTAACCTATTCTACATAAACACTATCAGATATGATTCAGATGACCTAGTAGATGAAAGACAACCTAACTATTCTCATATATATATAATCTTTTTACCAAGCGATTCTCTTATGTAAACTTACACAAAAATTGAAAAGTATGTGAGGAACACTGTTAAAATGGCTATGCTGAAAGCCTTAGCGTTAGTCCTGAAAACTCGTAGACTGAAATTAATAGTAAGATGCAACAAATCCAACAAAATTAATTTTTGAGAAATAATATCACATTTTACTAAGTAAAACTATTCGTCAGATCCATCAACAAACGGCACTTAAATCTTAAATCAGTCAATAATTTCTGGAATTTTTAAATATTTATCAAAACTGTTTTTTACTCAACATCATATTGTATTTTCAGTTCACTTACAGATACAACACCAAAGATAAGAAGAGAAAACCCATCAAGTTAAAAAAAAGCATTTTGGCAGATTTAGAAATTAAAAATCTTAATCAGTGATCAATCTCGATCGCATACTCATTATTTATAGATGTATATTAGAATAATCCAACTAACAACCATACATGAATCACCCATATATTACTTTCAAAAATTTCCTTAGACACCAGTAAACAAATTACAGTAGTGTGTATTCTAATCAAGAATATAATCAATAATTAATGTAGAAATATGCTTCACACCACATGTACAGCGAACACTTATTTTTTAACACCAATATATTTTACATTAATAACATTACTTTCCATTTTTATAGTAAAATAAAAATTTTCCTCGATTTTCTTCTTCATAACCTCAGATATCTGCTTGTTCCGCCGAGCTTATTTATATTTTGTGACCGAGTTCGATACAGTCAACGATTAAATGTAGCTTATTCATTAGGAAAGAGATGATAGGCTGGATTAGAGCCTGAAATCAACAATTATTTCAGAACTACGAATTGAGTCAGGTTGGATTCCGAAATTCTCTTACAAAGCAATTCTAGTACTCACGATTGTTTACTTTATTATGTCGGTTAAATTGTAGGAACCATATCCTGTACCATTAAATGTTATTAGAGGGGAAACTTATATTGACCCAACGTCTATCGATTTATGAGACAAATGTATACAGTAGGAAAATATCTCAGCATTTAGAACACATTTAACACGAAATTAACAGTTATACATATTTCGGAATAGAATAAACATTAATGTAACTAACAAACACATCCTAAATGAAGTGAATTCTGAGGTCAAAGTACTAAGGGAACTATAATGGTAAATAACCTTATAGCAAGACTAAATCTAGGGATAAGTAATATTGAGTCTGTTTCAACTTAGTAAGAGCAGTGAGAATACTACTTTTTAGGTACAAAGAATCATAAAAGAGCAGTTACACGTCGTCGCTTAGCTGGGATCATTTGACGAACTTCGAGTACCACATCAGTTTCTGAGAGGAAAAACTGAGTAAATAATCACAGTGAGTATAAATTATTGGAACCCCTGGCGTGTTTTTACGGAGTTGTAAAGGTTATACACAGCTTTCTGCAAAACAAGAAAGTTGCTCACTATGTTATCTAAGAAAAGCAAACCTTAGGAATTTACGAAGTTAATTTTTGGTGTAGCATCACCGTAACAAAGTTCGGTAAACGTTCAGTAACAGATATGCTACATTGATTTGATCGCACCTCATGTTACTAATTATCTGGCAAGGAATGAACGAAACATAGTGGACACGAATGAAGCGTAATCACCAGGTTCTAGGTGATAAGTGACCAATAAATACACTTATTTAACAATCGCTTAAGTTTTCTTAATGACCAAAATCACATGATATTTTTAAATAACAGAATAGCTGCCCTTGAATTTAAAAGACAATGAAGGTATTCTAATTCGCATGTTAGAAAACTTTACATGACAAGGACAATGAAGTACAAAAAAAACTAGATAATCGACATAGTACAACAGACTTATTTTTATTTCAAAGATTAGACTTAGTTTATTAATTCAGATTCTGTTTCTGAGGTGAGTGAGTTGGAATGACTATAATGTACCTGTATTGTAATAAAGAGTTACTGCCACATGTCAAGCCAGTGTTCAATACACACAAATAGCTACCCGTACAATTGTACTAACAAAACCATGGTATAATTGAATCCTATTTACAAAATACTTTTTTCATGTATTATGATTGGATTTCTGAAAACTAGGAGTCAAGTGTGTATAGAAAGACCTTAGAAATACAAATATCCGGTTGTATCAGAAAGCATAAATCTGTCCATACTTTTCTTCTTTGAAGCTAGTAGACCGACGTTAATATCCGTTTGGAATTCCACTAATGCTAAGCAGCAAAGAAAAGTATAAGTTACGAATTTATATACTCAATCCTGAGACAAAAACTTAAGGTTTAAAATAACCATGTGCTAAGTAATGACTACCTAATACCTTGCTAATTTGCAAACCAAAAGATACCAAAGAAATTGAACAAATCGTCCTTGTGATCAACGGGGTAAACCGTATACACACCCTCAACCTACATCAGATCTATCATTTTGAGATTACTTGTGTGATAGGGGAGTTGTAATTATTGTTAGTTCATCTGTAGCTGAATTCGAGAAATTTGTCAAGTTGAAAGAAAAAGTTTTTACGGATTAGTTGTGTGCATTTCACAATACTAAGGGAGTGAAAAGCAACTTTACGGGCTTCCATTCATTGGCATCAAACCTTAATGTTTCAGTAAACGAAAAATAAATCCACTGGGATTGTGATGAGGCGTGAATTATCATTCGTCCGTGTGTGAAGGTTTTAGAAGTTTTCTAGAGGGATTTAAGCAACCTTCCAGAATGAGGTTTGGCTAGGTCCTAACCTCGACCTGAAACTTTTTTGAACTTCATAATAATGCACTTTTATCCTCACGTTTAACTCAGTTATACACAGCAGTATTTCATTCCCATGGTCGTGCTTCTACTGAGGAACATGGCACATAATGAACAAAAAGTTTGGTATGTAAATATTTAGTGAGGCTTATTCATATGTTCCAGCATGTGATTAGAGTGAACGGCGTATTGTGACTGCCTATAAAATGTTTTCGTCATTACAAGTAAAGTAGGCTGGAAGAAAGATAAAGACGGCTAAACCGAAACATAGCATCAGTTCATGGGATCACTGACGACTGGACTGAGTCATGTTAGTAAGTGTAGACTATCTGGTTTAGATCCGCGTGATTACTGTAACTAATGGCTGGAGACTATGGGTGATATGGTTCAGAATCGATCACAATGGCGTAGGTGTATACACTCTTTGTTTATCCTTAAACCGTGAGACTAAAATTGCTTTATACCTTTATTGCTAGGAGCTAATTCTTTCTTCCTATACTATTATCCTTATACACAATTTTTCTTTCACATATTACTAGCATTGAAGGAACTACTTCTATTAATTTGGTGTTCGTCTTATTGTGCTTATGAGATGTAGCAACTTCGACCGATGCATATATGCGTCTGGTCTTACGTTGCAGCTGACTGACTGGGAACTTTGAACAGAATGATTCAAGACGGCAAAGATGTCCCTATTCTTCGTCTTGCCCCAAATTCTGAGATTTTGAAACCCTCATAACTTTTTTGAGTATAGTTCACTAATTTATATAATCTCGAAATGTATCTTTAATGCCTAATCTTTTCTATCACCACTGATACTGTTACTACTTCTACTGCTCTGATATTCGACCTGACAACTTCATTTCCTTGTGCTAATGAAGTATGGCAACCTGAACCGATGTGGATAAGTACCGGATTCTACTTTGCGATTGAGTGACCAACTAATTCAAAATCGCGATATTAGAACAAAACACAAAACTATTTGAATACTTTCGTACATAAGGCAAATAATTTTCAATTACAGCTTTTTCTTTTTTCTCTTCGATGTTTTGGGTTTTTGAACTTCGATGGTTTGTGTTCTGAGGTAAAAATAAAAAATAAAGCCCTTTAGTAATACACGAATTTAATAAATTGAAGATATTTTTGAGTTATAAATACTTTTAGTTGTAAAAACTCGATAACAAACCCAAAAATCTTGAATTTATTAAACAATAGTATCCCATATTTTTCAAATGGCCTTAGTAACAGCTAAAATCGGGAGAAGAGCACCATTCTTATCATAGCAACTTTAAATGCACACATGTTTGTAGCTCTTGACAAGCACATTCAACTCTGCTTTTAAATGTCATGTAACTCAGTGGCCAGGCAAAGATTAATGTGCCAATCATACTTATGTAATAAGAGCTAGTGATGATACCCTTAGTGTAAACAGACTGAGAGTTCATTTAGGCAGCTCCATCGAGGCTGTTGAAAGAACAAATGAACTACTCTAACCCATGAGACCGAAAACAGTTTGGTCATCGCATAACTTGGAGGTTGATATTTGAACTTATGTTATTGGGGATGCGGTGTCACGAAGAACTCTCAAGCTATTCCACACTTTCTAGTTTGAATCCATGAAAATACTTTCGAATGTATCAGAATCATGGTTAATTTTTATTACATACAAAATTGTTATACTGATATAACCTGTCATCGTTTTACAGTTAGTTTATTTAGTTTATATTTATAATCACAAACCTGGTAATAACAGGAGAATTATATGTACTACAAAAAGTAACATCACAGCCAAGTTATAAACGAAAGGTGTACTAATTACAACTTGGAGTAAAATTACTACTTGTCTCAATTATATGAAAGAGAGGTCGATACATGATAGCCGCTAACTTTTCTAGTTACTGAATCGTATGATTATTTAGACTGTGGTGTACTAACGGATGCTGATATGGTAAAAAGTGTATTTCATCATATGGGATAAAATTACAGAGTTCCTCTTCCAAAAAAAGACAGAAATAAAATGAAAACATTGGATTATTCATATAACTTTAGCTTAAATGATTGGCGAATCAGTGTATAGCATGTTGAAGCAAACTATCTACAAGATTTACCTTCAAATCTTTTGAAACGGATACTTGTTTTTGATGCCCGGCCTTCAAATGATTGCGAATATTCACAAACAGAGTTGTCTCGATTGGGCAAACGAGGATCGGGTAAGTTATTAACCAGAGATTGAGGAATGGAGTCGGCGTTAGTAGAATTAAAGCCGCCGAAACTTTCTCGAAACCCAGGTGATACATTGTAGAGCTTAAAAATACTTTTAACAAACTGATAACGATATTTCGACTTAAGGATGGTAGCTCTTTTGTTGATATGCTTTTCTACAGAAGAAGGGAGTTTAAATCCATACTCTTGTGAATTAGGAAGGATGTCTGGGGCACTTTGATTAGTAGCCTTCTCCTTGGCTACGAGAGTTCGTCGCATAAAATTCATTTGGAGTAAATTCTTCGATATACCAAGCTCACTAACATCTAAGTTAGCCATCGTCAACTACACATAAAGCAACAAATGGAGGACTAGGTAAGTAGATTTCAGATAATTTATGTTGAATATACTACAGCTATATTGAAAAAGTTTGAATGTGTCAATTAAGTACCTATCATTTAACCACAAAAGCGACTGACCGCAATCTACTATGTGACCATGAATTAATAGTCTTTTCGTAGAATACCTACCCACTGGTTCCTTAGAACAAGGGTGTCCTCAAAAGAGATGAGCAAGATCATTCTAGCGTCAGATAACTGCATTTTCATAGACCTATAGTATGAATGGACCTGCTTCGGTTTGGGCACCCGGGCAGTATCACAGCCCTCACACATATCGAATGGGATTTGTGTGGCGCATATGCATTTGATGCCTCTTTGTACCATTATCTGTGTTGAAATAAATAAATAAAATGGTATGAATGGATTGCAATATAATGTCTCATCCTTATCATTCTGAGTTGTCTGGATGCCTATCCCAATAAAGTACTCATGATTAGAGAAGACGGCTTATCTTGGAAGTACTGAAACAAGTGAAGAGGGATATAATTACTGTTAATCAAAATACACGCAACCTCATAACTTCATTGGACAACTTGTAAGCCGTAGATTAAAGTAACAGCTAAGTGGACCTGTCGCGAAAAATAACCATGCAAAGGTAAGCGTCAACAAATGTATGCAAGCTCTTTCGCTCGATACCAGCTAGTTGCGACTTTCGCCCCAAGATATGGTAGTATAAGCGGTATAGACATATCTTTGCAAAAGAGTATAGTATGCATGCCCCCATTAAACTACATCTTGGAAACATATACAAGATCCTCTCAGACCTCAGATATAATCCCAAGGAATATTTGGGAAACTGCAATTACCGAAACCTACTAGATGGTAGGTAGATTGAAGGAATAAGAATTAATCGGAAGAAAACAGTTCCTACAGACACATTGCATTAGCACTTAGTAACGAAAGCAATCAACAAAAATAGAAAATAAAAAACGTGAGGTTAAGACAATCTGATAATCGGGACCAGAATCTGATATAATGAGGTTTCAAAAAGGAACAGGATAAAAAAAAGCAACGAATGAAACGTTTCGCGCGCTACTTAAAAAGGATAGTGGTATTTTTCCTCGCTGAGTAAATTTCTTTGTTTTGATCGTTTATTACGTATCAAGACTACTGTTTTCATTTTAATTGAATTTATTTCAGTTAAAGTATTCGACTAGAGTATCGTTTTTACTGTTCTCTCAATTAGTTTTGTCGTTGGTACTCTTGAGTACCTCTTTTTCAACTGTATCTGTTAGTACTTTTGGTCCTAGCAATCTACAGCTCTTCACTTTTTTGGTCATTGATTATTTTTTGTTTCTGAGTATCATCGCATCTTAAAAAAGAACCCTTTCTAAATGACAGGACAGTGTAAAAAAAGCAGTTGCCAACGTCCGGGTTGTCGTTATCCTGTTGAAAGCGGCATGCAGTGCGACGAGTGCAAAGGCTGGTACCACGAAGTTTGCACGAACTTAACGCCTGCTGCTTTCAAACGGTTCAGTAAGAAGGGTTGTGTATGGCTTTGTCAACATTGCTGCTCGGATGCAAACAGCTTGTTAACCGAGGCCATCTCACTGGTTGATGCTGCAAAGATGTGTTTTAGCAAGCATAGCAGGAACGCGTCAAACAGCACTCGATCTGTCGACACGCAAATCAACGTGAAGGAAACTAAGGTTAGTTCGATGATAGATGACTCACGCCCGTCAAAGAAGGAAAAGCAGTCTCCAAAGGGGCCTACCTTAAACAAAGGCTCAAGAAAAGTATGGTCTTCTGTTCCCCGTCTCCCAGATGGGGTCCAACAGGAAACACCTAGAAGCCGCAATCGCAAGGCCCGATCGGTTTCAAGCGGTAAACATAACCTGACCTCTCAGGTCGTCGACATCCCCCCAAAATCCAACACTAGGTTTGACGCAACTGTTATTGCTTCTACCAGCACCGTTGACGAATGGGTACAGGTTGTAAGGAAGAAAAGTAGGGATATAAAAGGGAACCCTGCCCCCGTAAAAGTAGTTGAAAAATAGAAAGCTGATCATAGCGACAGATCAGCTATTTTTCATAGAATTAAGGAGAGCGAGAGCTCTGGACATAAAGCTCGTCTTGAGCATGACATTGTACTGATTAGGCAGCTACTTAACCAACTCATGCCTCAAAATATGACCGGGGTAAGCTTGCTAAAAGTGTACAGACTAGGGAGTCTAGCGGACTCGAAACCAAATCATTCCAGACTGCTTAAAGTAGTATTCAGCTCTTCGAACGAACGTGACTTAATTTTACAGAATGGACACAAATTAAAGGGTTCAGGAGTCTTTATCCGAAAGGACCTATCGTTGGCAAACCGTGTTAAAAGACGGAAAGCCGAGAAAGAACTACACCTTAGGTTAGACGCTAGCGAAAAGGACCTGAAAATTGTAAATTTTTGGGGTTGTAAGACTTCGACAGAGAATGATGCCGAAGCCACTCTAGGTGAAGCACGGAGGCACTTAAACAGGCTTCGGATCTGTCACACCAATGCACGAAGCTTACTTAATAAGCGATCGGAACTAGGTGTACAGATTGACTCTACAAAGCCAGACATAATCGCAGTAACAGAAGCCTGGCTGACACAGGCTATAGATAGTATGGAACTTGATTTCGAGGGTTTTACGTTAGTAAGGGCCGACAGAACACAAAAGCGCAAACGTGGGGGAGTAGCTCTATTCATTAGGAATGCTATCCCATTTGCCATTATCGATAATGTGTCCCATGAGAGTGGGACGTGTGAATTAGTTAGTTGCCGATTGAAATACAAGGGACAAGAGCTGCTGATTGGTTTGGTCTATCGCAGTCCAAGCTGTGAGGCAAATGAGATCCTGTTAAGCAGTCTCAATACTTGGTCCCAAAGTGGTCGATGTCTAATCCTAGGGGACTTCAATGCACCTATGGTAGACTGGGAAAATCTGCGAACTAAATCGTCGGATAATTTATTCGAGCAGGAACTAGTTGATGGAGTTATCACATGTGCTCTATTGCAACATGTGAAAGACGCGACAAGGTATGATCCGGACACTGAATCATCCTTATAGATCTTATACTGACTCACTATGAGGATGATGTTGCGAACCTCCATCATATGCCACCCCTAGGTAAAAGCGATCACGCAGTTTTAACTTTCGACTTCCATATAACTGCCAGTCACGAGCACGCGTCAGTCCAGTTCAGACCCAACGTCTGGAAAGCAAACATACCAGACACCATGCACTCAGCATCGTTAATAGACTGGACAATAGACCCAGAGTCCTCAATTGAAACGGCCTGAGACGCATTTCGAAATTCATACTTAAAAGTTACCGCACCTCACATCCCTTGGACTATACCAAAGGGGCCGAAAAACTCACCAACATTGTTCAGTAGGGAGGTCCGTATCCTTCTCCGTAAGAAAAGGAAAATGTGGGATAGATTTAGGTTACTGGGGACTGATGAGTCAAAATCTCAGTATCGAAAGGCTCGGAATACTTGTGCCTCGACCCTCCGTAAGTCTAGAAAATTGTACGAAGGAAAACTTGTTAAGGAATCTATAGAATGTCCTGAACGCTTGTATTCCTATATAAACCAAAGGACAAGGAGAAAAGGAAATATTCCTGTTCTATGGGGAGACAGTACTGCTTCATCATTAGTGGAGGAAGACTTTGGTAAGGCCCAAGTGTTCTCGAACTACTTACCATAAAAGCGCTCTTCCCGTCAGCGTATACAGATCCCCTCATACATACACTGGATAGTGTGACCATTAAGGAACTCGATGTCTTTGGTCTGCTAAATAAGCTTGACATAGATAAATCCACGGGGCCCGATGAATTACATCCTAGGCTACTGAAGGAATTATCTAACTTCGTTGTAAGCCCTTTAAGTACATGCTTTAACCTATCCGTTAGGCAGGGTCATTTACCAAAAGACTGGAAAAACGCCATAGTAAGTCCTGTCTCCAAAACAGGTACGAAACACAAACCTGAGAACTACCACCCCGTTAGCCTAACTAGTGTGGTTGTTAAAATCTTAGAAAAGATTATTCGGAAGGATCTGTTTAAGTATCTCGATAAAAACCGGATCCTCTCGGAGAAGTAGCACGGTTTCAGAATAGGTTGCTCTTGTCCCACTAACTTATTAGTGGCTCGTGAAAGCTGGTGCGCTCTTAAGGACCAAAAGCTACCTATAGACGTCGCCTTCATTGATTTCACTAAAGCTTTTGACAAAGTTCGGCACAACTGGCTGTTATATAAGTTAAGAAAAGTCGGGATTGGAGGCAATTTATTGATGTGGATAAAAGACTTCTTAGTTGGGAGTCAACAAAGAGTTCGGGTGAACTCAAAGTTATCTAGCTGGGAAACTGTGCTTAGTGGAGTGCCCCAGGGTACAGTTTTAGGGCCAGTGCTATTCCTCTTGTATGTAAATGACCTTCCTCGTTTCCTATCATCATCGGTCTTGCTATATGCTGACAATGTCAAGATATGGAGAACGATACGATGTAAGGGTGATAGCTTAGAACTCCAAAATGACCTGAAGAAATTATCTGAATGGTCTCAAACATGGCAGTTGCCGATAAATACTTCCAAGTGTGTTGTGATGCATATAGGTCATCAAGCTACAGATACATACTCGATGAATAACACTGAGCTACCTGTCGTCCAGAAGTATAATGACTTGGGAGTCATCGTTAGCCAAGACTTAAATACTACTGCACACTGCCGTGCAATAGCCGCCAAAGGTTTTAGAACCTTATGGTCAATACGTAGAGCTTTTAGTCATGTCGACGCTAAAACGTTTTTGACTTTGTATACAGTGTTCGTTCGTCCTAAACTTGAGTACTGCATACAAGCGGCTAGCCCCTGCTTAAAAAAGACAGTGAGCTTCTGGAAAAGGTTCACAGAACGGCGACTAAGCTGGTTCCCGGAATAGCGAAGCTTCCGTATGAATCTCGACTGGCCAAGC